GTTGGACTAGATGACCTACAAGGTCCCTCCCAATTCTGTTAATCTGTTTATAACAGGGGTGCCTGTGGAATTGTCTATGGAGATTCTTGGTCATCCAAGTCATGGTTGTCCCAAAGGTGCTTTTTCAGGAGGCAACAGGACTTCCTTCATTCTTTCTTTGAAGACCTTTCACTTCTGATCCCAGAAGCTTCTTCAGCTCTGACTGGATGGTGGGGGATGGAAGGATTTATACTCCTTGCAGACAGCTGGTCATTTGCATCCTTTTAGACTTAGAGGGTCGTTGAGGCCACCTGGAGGTTTACCTGTGTGCTCAGGGTCACCCGAGTGGTGCAAATGGGGGTGAAGCCTTCTTGGAATTGCTGAGGACATCATCTGTCTCTGGTCTACAACAATGGTTCCTACAGGCCTCAATTTTTCTGGAAATCTGTTCCTACATCATTCGAAGGGTGTCCATCCCAGAGGGCATAGCTAAAAGTCTCCAGTCAGAGCTGAAGAAGCTTCTTGAACGAGAAGTGAAAACGTCTTCAATGAAAAAAATAAGAAATTCAAGTTGCCTCCTGAAAAAGCACCTTTGGCTCTATTCTGATTGAACTGAATAAGAGTCGTAAGTCAAGGTCTACCTGCACAACCATTTTATGGGCTCCACAACTCCGATCCCCCAGGCCAGAGGGCAAAGCCCAGTCTCCAGGAAGGCCATCAGGGACAGCCCAGCCCAGAGGAATCCACTCGGAAGACCACTGAATGCTTTGGATGCGGCCCTGTATCACACTGCCCACTCGGCTCAAGGGCATTGATCAGTTTGGCCCATTGTTCATTGTCCCAAAGGTGCTTTTCAAAAAGGGCAACCAGACTTCCTTGTTTGTTTTTTCTTTTTCTTTGAAAATGTTTTGCTTCTCACCCAAGAAGCTTCTTCAGTTCTAACTCAATACTGTAGTTAGAACTTCAGTTAGAACTGAAGAAACGTTTTCAAGGGAAAAAACCCCAAGAAAGTCCAGTTGCCTTTTGAATAGGGATAGGGATGGGATGGGATATAATTAGAATTAGAATTAGAATTAGAATTAGAATTAGAATTAGAATTAAATTAGAATTAGACAGAACAGAACAACAGAGTTGGAAGGGGCCTTGGAGGTCTTCTAGTCCAACCCCTTGCTTAGGCAGGAAAATGGTTGTCCAGTCTCTTCTTTAAAACTTCCAAGGTTGGAACATTCACAATTTCTGGAGGCAAGTTGTTCCACTGGTTAATTGTCTGCCCTGTCAGGGAATTCCTCCTCAGTTCCAGGTTGCTTCTCTTCTTGATTTTGGGAAAATATATTTGGAACAACCATGACCGGGATGATTGAGAATCTCCACAGATGCCCAGTTATGACGGCTGGCATTGCCTGATAGTGTTAGAATAGAATAATAACTTTATTGTCGCTTTGAATGTGCGCTCATCGGCATTCATTAAAATGAAATTTCATTTTTCCCTGTAATTGGCTGGTTCAAACACTAGGCGCTTAGTGGGTGCAGGGTCTGAGTCCATCTCAAGACCCCTCCCCACCTTGGAAGTCCCTTTTGTGACCCCTGGAGAAGGATGTGGCCCACTCTTTGCAGAGAGGATGCAGCCTCTTGCTTCTAGCCCGGTCAAACCAGGACATTCCTTCAAGTGCCTCCAATTGATTTTTCCATGTTTCCTTTTCACGCGTTGATCGTCTCCTTCCGATTCCTGCTTGGTAGGACCCAGCCGCCTCCCCGCCTCCCCGTGGGACCCAGCCACAAGCTAGCCGACAACTACTACTGCACCAGAGACGGGCGCAGGGAGTCCTTTCCGCCCATTGTCCTCATGTCAGCTCAGAAGAAGTTGGCCCCCAGAGCGGAAGAGGGAAGGTAGGCCCCCCCTCGGCGATACCTGCGGAGATCCGACGGCCTCAAAGAGCGCAGCCTCTTTCGCAAAAGAGCCTCCCTTCTGGAAAGTTCCTTCTTAGGGAAGCGTCAGGTGGAGCCCAGCTAAACAGATCCTTGTTTGTCGTCGCCATTTCCGGCTTCTGAACAATGACCCGGCTGGCTGAGCCTCCAAAGCTCTTGAGCTATTTTGGCGTTTTCCAAAAGGATGCTAAAAGCCGACACGTCTTGCAATAGGAACGTCCTTGTGGGGGGGTGTTTAAAGGCCTTTTCCCCCCGATTTTCCCTGGCTTGGTTCCCCAAAGCTGTGAAGTTTTCTCTCCTCCCAAGGAGGCCTTGAAAGAGTCCATCCGGAAAAGGTCTGGCTTCCTCTCCTCCCGGCAAGATTTCTTTCACAGGAAGCCTTTTAGAGGCCTTTTACGTATTTAATTTATCACGCTTGGAAACCGCCCTTCTCCCTTATGGTGTGCCGTAAAATAATTACTACATAATGAGATATATAAAAGTTAAAATTTAAGAAGAAGAAGAGGCAAGGATGATTAAGAGCACTGTTAAAAATTAGTTGAAAGGTGAAGGGAAGGTTTTTGCACCTTTACAGGAGACCAGGAGAATTGGGGGGGAGGGGGTCTGCCTCACCTCCAGGAGGAGGGGGAATATTCCCCAGGGCAACATGGGCAAAGAAGTCTTTAACTGAGGGGGTCACCAATATGCCTTCCCTGCCTTTTTCTCAGCCTGCAGAGCTCCTGGGAGAGGGGGAAGGTGAGGGGAACAGATCCCTCTCGGAGGTGTGAACGGGAGGCTTCCTCTTAAGCGGGCAACATTGCTTATATTTATTTCATACGCCGCCTTTATTATTTTTATAAATAAGTCAAGGCGACAAAATCTAATACTCCTTCCTTCTCCTGTTTTCCCCGGAACCACCAGGTGAGGTGGGCTGGATGGAGGAGGAAGAACTGGCCCAACCACTCTTATTTATTTTATCACATTTATTAAATTTCTACGCTGCCCACCTCCTCTACAAGGCGATTCTGGTTAGCCTTTCACGCCTAAAATGGGACTAGAACTCCTGGAGATTGACCCAAAATCACCCAGATGGCTTTCATGCCTAAGGCGGGACTAGAACTCACTGTCACCGGGCGATTGGCCAAGTCTCCCAGCCACCTTTCATTCCTACGGCAGGACTAGAACTCACCTGCTTTCTCGCCTGGTGCCTTAACCTCTAGGCAGAACTGGCTCTTTTTAATCTGAGTTTACAGCCTGGGGACGTCTCCAGCTTGGGGAAGGTGGCCGTGCAGCCTCTTAACTCTCCCGTTTCTGACCCACAGCTCGGACTCTTCCGTCACAAGGACGGAGAAGCTGCCTGTGACCCCTGGCGTCCCCCCTCGGAAGTGGGAACTGTCCAAGGACGAGCCCTATTTGTGAAACTGCCCCCGAGGCTCCAAGGCTGGGTTGCTGTACAGCAGCCGGTCCGGCCTCAGCACTGGCCAGGAGGCCGAGCAGCAACACAGAAGGACTTTTTCTTCCTGCTCCTGGGCTAATTCAATAAATGCCATCCATAATGTAACTGTAAGTCGTACATGATTTTAAGGGGCTTGTTGGGCTGGGAAAATAGAATTTGAGGAACAGCTGTTGGAACTGTTAACTCAAGATATACAGCCAGAATAAAGGGAGGCACAAGATGTTGGCTAAGAGTGCATTTCTTTATTACATTTCTACCCCGCCCCAACTCGCCTGACTCTGGCTGGGAGGCAGCATCACCAGTCATATAAATACAAGCATAAATTCAAAACAGAATCGAAACAGGTTACAGGGAGTCCTCGGCTTAGGAGCACAATTGGGCCCAGAATCTTTGTTGCTAAGTGAGACATTTCTTAAGTGAGCTATGCCCCCATTTTACGACCTTTCTTGCGACAGCTGTTAAGTGAATCACTGCACCGGTTAAGTTAGTCACCCGGTTGTTAAGTGAATCTGGCTTCCCCAATTGGCTTGGCTTGTCAGAAGGTCTCAAAGAGGGATCACGTCACCCACCCACCCACCCACCCCGGACAAGGCGACCGCCATGTTGCCAAGCGTCTGAATTTTGATCACATGACCCTGGGGATGCTGTTGCAACACTTTTCAGTGCCGTTGTAACTTTGAACAGTCACTAAATGAACTGTTGTAAGTTGAGGACTACCTGTGCAACTTTCAAGAGATACAAGACAGGTAGGTAAGAGATAATGGATAGATAGGTATGTAGATAGAGACAGGGAGATGGATAGGTATGTGGATGGATGGATGATAGACATTAGAGAGACAGAGACAGAGACAGAGAAAGGGATGGATGGATGGATAATAGACTAGATAGATAATGGATAGCTAGGTATGGAGAGAGGAGAGAGAGAGGATATAGATAAATGATGAGAGATAGATAAGGTAGATGGTAGATCATAGTTTATTTAATGGAGATGATGGATGGATCATAGTTAATAGACAGATGATACAGACACACAGATTCCCCCAAAATGTCTTTCTCCAGAGCATTCAGCTGATGCACCAAAATATGGGGGCGTGGAGGGGGGGGTCTTCGGACCAGTCGACTGCAGGGCTGGGATTGACAAGAGTAAAAGCGGCCCAATTTCTGACCCCCCCCCCAAATCGATCAGGTTACACCTCCCTCCAGAGGAGACTTCTCACAAGCCCCCCAACCCAGGAAGAGACACCCACCCTTGCCAAGAGGGCCGAGCAGTCTTTGTCGGTAGACTGCTGCTGAAGAGGGGGGCTCTTCTTCGCTCTTCCCCACCCACCGGCGAGTCTTGGGAATCGGCTGAGGCGAGGGGTGGGGGGGGGGCAGCAGCTGGAGCCCCCCCCCCCCGCCTGGTTTCCAGCCGGCCTCCCCAGCCCCCCTTTGTAACCGGCGGCCCCCCCCCCCCCCCCCCACACACCCACACCCCCCCCGACGCCCCGCCGTGCAAAAGACCCGAAGCACGTGCCGCGGATCTTTTCCCCGGGAGGCTGCGCATGCGCCTTCTGGCAGGCTGACCGCCCCCCCCACCGGCCGAGCCTAGCCTTCTATTCCTGCGCATGCGCGACTTGGAGGCGTGTCTCCTCCCCCACCGCTTTCTTCGCCTTTGCGCAAGCGCGGTCCTTCTTCGGCGGGTTTCATGCTCGCCGGGCGTTCAGTCTGGCAGGCGGCGGCCGCGGAACCATGACGCGCCTTTTTCTCTTCTTGCTGCTGAATTGGGAGGCCGGTGAGCTGAGGGCGGGAGGAGGGGGAGGAGGAGGAGGGAGGGAGGGAGGGTGGGAGGAGAGGCGAGGACCCTCTCCACACGACGGGCTCATTCATGCGCCCAAACACGTCCCGCGGCCGCCGATTGGTCGAGCGCCACGCCAGGCCCCGCCCAGCAGGCGGCCATTGGCTGTTCTGTCCTCCCGCCCCGCCACACCTCCTCTGGGCTCGCTTTCCACGCCCCCCGGGCCGCACGTGCGCCGGTGTCCCCTCGCGCGCCCCCCTCCCGTCCTTTTCCAAGGTCAGGTGAGGCCGTTGCCAAGGCGACCGGGCCTACCTGCCCAAGGGGTAAAAGCGAGCCTTCCTCGAGTTAAAGACCCCCAAAATCTCGGAGTCAAACTGTTTGCAGCAGCCTGAAAGGCGTAAATGAAATGCAGTTGGGTGGGTGGGGGATGTAGGATTATCCCCCCAACCCCAGCTTCTCTTTGCAGGTGCATTTGTGCAATATTTGCCCGTCTCGCTCCTGACCTGACCCTGGTTATGCCCTCTTCTCATACAGGACTCCTTGGTTTGGCTCCTCACGCTCCTTTCATTGGTCTATTTCAGTGCCCTCATCCTCTCTCAGGAAGGTTGGACTCCCAGACCCAGAAGCCACAGCCAGGGCCTTCCCCTCTCAGCCCAGACTTCCCCATGGAGGCCCAGGATTCCCCCTACCCCCCCCCCCCTTGGATCCTTCGCATTTCAGACATTTGCCTGGAATGGTCTAGGGGTCTCTTGAGCAGCAGGTTGGACTAGATGACCTCCAAGGGTCCTTCCATCTCTGTTATTCTGTAAAATTTAATACTTCTGCATTTCCTTCTGCAGATGAGGATGGACTCTTGGCCTGGATGGGGGGTGGGGGTCTCCTTTGGGCCTTGGCTTATAGGCCCCCTGATTGGCCAAAGGGAGCTGGGGCTGCCCCTCCCCCTTCTTTTAAACTCCCCCTTGCTTAGACACCACCCAGGAGGCTTTTCCCTCCCCAGAGCATCAGTGGGGAGCAATTAAGGCATGGCAAGATAATTAGCACCTGAACCTAATTAGAGATTAAAATAGAGCAGCAAAAGCTTTGCAAGCATTGATTGTGTGCCCCCCCCCAAAAAAATTTGTCTCCAAGGAGGGGGGGCTCGCCCCTTCCCCATTGATGCTGCTCCCTTCCACCTTTCCCAGTCCGAGGGGCTTCTCAGAAGAGTTCGGGTTTTGCATTGATTGACTGATTGCCATCAAGTTTCTCTTGACTCTTAGCAACCGAGCAGGTGGATCTTTCCCCAGGAAGATCTCCAGGTCTGCCACTGATGTTTCCAGGGGATCCAGCCCAGGACTTTATTTTAGGAAAAACCCACATTAGCACAGTAGGAAGACTTGTGCTTGTGAGCTGCCCAGGATCACCGTGGGCAGAAGGCAGCCATAGAGATTTTCTCAGTAAATACGGCCCTACAACCTCTTGTAGAGTCACTCTCTCTGACTGTGATTTGGATTGGTCCACAAAACATTGTTTTATTTCACCCCCCCAAAATAAATAGTAGTTAGTTAATGATTACTTCCCCAGTAAGGATCCAAGGTCAGAGCCTCAGGAGCTGCTTTTCTTAAGGAACTCATGGTGTGTTTCTGCCAAAGCAAGGCAATTATACAGGCTTCACCATTCGTTTGAGCAGGGGGCTGGACTAGAAGACCTCCATGGTCCCTTCCAACTCTCTTATTCTGTAAAGAGCAAGTCACTGGGCTGAAAGACCTGCAATAAGAAAAAAAAGTAAAGAATATAAGTGAATTTTCTCTATCCATTCCTTTTTATTCTTGCACTTCCATTTTTTCGACACTTTTGCCTCTCTTTCAACATCTGATCAGCCTCCTCCAAATACCGTTTTTTTCTCTTGCTTTCCACCTGCAGGATTCTCCTCCTCCTCCTGCCCTCTTGAGAGCTTCCAGTGCCAAGAAGGGGGCCAGGTGCTGCTGTGCCTAGACCAAGAGAGGCAGCCCGGCTGCCAAGACAACACAAATGGGTGCCAGCAGCCAAGAAGCATCTGCAGGAATCACACCTGTCGGTGTGGCAACAGCAGCGGGCCCTGCCTGCCCTTTGAGCGGTTTTGCGACCGGCACCAGGATTGCCCAGATGGTTCAGACGAGGCCGGATCCCTTTGTGCGTCCCTGGTGGGCCCGCCCGAGGAGGACGACTGCGAAAGCGAAGAGTTCCGATGCCATCCGGGGGCTGAGTGCTTCCCCCTGTCTTTCAAGTGCGACGGCCATCCGGACTGTGAAGACAAAACCGACGAAGAGAATTGCGGCACGGATTTGCCAGAGACTCCAAGGACCCCACAAATAACCCCAAAAGGTGGGCTGAGCTGTGGTCCAATTTTGGGGTGCCAAACGGCGCTTCTGCTGGCCGGGCTTTCTTTGAATTGCAACTTTGTTTTGTAAGCAATCCGGAAAGAGCTACCTTTGCCCTCGTGATGTCTGCTTGCTAAAGCTGCACTTCGCTTGCTGTTCAGTTATATTTTGTATTTCGCTGTGCGTCGCTTGTGATTATATGCTGTTTATAACTCCCAATCCACCGGGGCAAAGTAGTCTGTAGATTAGAAATATACCTTGTATAGCTGGCTGGGAATGAGAGGGGCTTGGGTGCAACTCCTGGCAATGTTTTTTGCTCTCTTTTTTCTGCATTCTGCATTATTTTTAACCAGAAAGAAATTAGCAGGATGGGACTCTGTTCCCCCGTTGTTCCTGCATATATTTCCATCCTGTGCTTCATTTAGAGAGATTAAGGAAGTTTAGAAGGTCCCGTGAGAATCCCACCCTCCGCAGTGGTTTTCCCCTTTTCAACTTTGAGACGGGCAAAGCTGTGTCCTTGGCACATGGAAGGGCACAATGCCGTCTCTGGCGTTTCCTGGAGGAAGCTGGACAAGAATCCGGGCTGCCAGCCAGGTTATGGCACGGTGGGCATAAGGTAGATTTAGAATTACTCTTGAGATTTCAAGGTATTGTGGGGGAGTTTGCAGAGGTTACCAAATCCCATTTTTTTAACAGTTAACAGCACAAAAAATGATGCGTGCCCACCCTGCCTCCAGTTATATTGCTGAAATAAAGAAAAGCAGAGCATTTGGGCATCTGAGTTCTGTTCATTCTCGTCTTCGGTGCTGATTTGGGATCGGTTCTTCCCTTTTGTAAATCTGTTATCTTCTTTTGCATTGGGTTGATTTTGAGAATGCTAGGAGGGGGAAAAAATTAAATTTAATCGCTCAGACCTAAAGCTTGCTGTGTTTTGCTGGGGGGGGCTGGGTGAATTTTCAGCCTCTGCACAGGGGTTCTGCCTGGGCCAGAGACACCCAAGGGATCCACATTGGGGAGTTTGCCACTCTGAGCCAGAGGCGTCAATCACTGCAGCCCACTCCCCTTACGTTCTGACCCTGGCTCTCCCCCTCCCCCCTTTCCTTAGGATGGCTTCTGTTGTCTTCTGCTGCTTCTAATTAATTGGGAAGTTTAATTCAGTATCTCTCTAATCTTAATGCCTTTAACTCTTAATCCACATCTGTCATCGATTGATTGAGCTTGCTGTGGGTGTAAATTGGACTTGACAGCATTTCCCTTTCCCAATACCTTTCATTTCTATGCCTTATTTCCTACACCCCCTTGCTGTGCCAAATGCCGCTTGTCCCACGTCTGTTCAAACGGGCAAGCATGTTTTGCTTCGGTCTCTCACATTTCTCACATGTTCGCTGATGTGCACCTTTAAACATGCCCTGATCAAAGTGTTCCCAAATGCTGCCTTTAGCTAAAACGTATCCGAATACTTTCAGGACATCCCGAGATGTTTAAAAATCATTTCGTTACGAGATGGGCAGAAAATGAATTTAAGAAATGAATAAATAAAATTAGGAGAAGTCTGGTAGCACCTCTTCTGACTCCTGTTTTAAAATTATTATTTAAAAACAAGGTGCAGCTCAAGGAAGTTCTGCCTTTCCATAAATGTCAGAAAATTAAATTAAATCCTAATTAAATTAAATGCTAATTTAAATTAAATGCCTTTGGAGGTTTTTCCCATCCTAGACTTAATCCAGCTCTCTGCCTTACATTGAGATGCTTAAAATACACTGGCTGCCTTCTCAGACATGAGTCTCTTGGCTAAAATGTTCTGACAGAATCAGAACCAATATCTAAGGCAGGGGTATCCAACCTTTAAGCCCTGTGGATTGCTACTCCCAGTTCTGCCAAGGTTAGACACCCCTGATCTAAAGGTTGCATCCCCAGATCTGGGTAACCCCACAGGTAGCCAGTCCCCATAACCCACCGGTGGGGCACGCCAGGACCGTCCAGGGAGGCAGCTCCTGTCCTGTCTGCCTGAGACAAAGAATCCAGAGGGAAGGGGCTTCCCTTGGAGGGTCTGGCTATTTATCAGCCTCCCCAAATTGCGTAACCATTCCGGTTTGGGCAAACCGGGCTGGTCCGACTCCTCTAAACATTCCCAACCCATAAATAACTGCTTGCAATAATTTTGAGTTCCTCCCAGGATGTCTGTTTTCTGAGATACCTCAATGAAGCAAGCTTGGGTTTTTTATTTGTGTTTCTGCATCCTGATGCTCTGGTTTGTTTTGTTTCCTGTGTTATGTTTTCCACTGGGACTCTCCTTCGCAAAAGACCGAGTTTTATCGTGACTTGATTTCTCAGTGTTTCAACCCCTCTCTACTGCCCTGCCCTTCTTTCCAAATTGCTTTGCAAAGCTGCTTCTGTCTATTTCTTTCAAAGAGCCAATTATTTCTTCAGTAAGTCAGCCCAGTAAGTTGAGGTACCCAATGCTTCACTGTTTGGCCCAGTTAATGGCTATAGAAATAAGAGTTTTATAGAGAAGATAGGTAAGGTAAAGTAGGTTAGACAGGCAGACAGATGATAGAGATGATGGATGGATGGATAGATGGAGACAGATAGAGAGGGTAGATAGAGATATATGGACAGATAGATACAGAGATGATTAGATTGATGATAGATAGATAGATGATGATAGATAGATAGATAGATAGATAGATAGATAGATAGATAGATAGATGATAGATAGATGATAAAAAGGAAGGAAGGAATGAGAAAAAAGGAAAGAAAGAAGAAAAAGAAAGAAATTGTGCCTTATGATTCTTGACGAATGTATCTTTTCGTTTAGAATTAGAATTAGAATTTTTTTTATTGGCCAAGTGTGATTGGACACACAAGGAATTTGTCTTTGGTGCCTATGCTCTCAGTGTACATAAAAGAAAGAAAGTGTTCATCAAGAATCATAAGGTACAACACTTAATGATAGTCATAGAGTGCAAATGTTTTATGTACACTGAGAGCATATGCACCAAGACAAATTCCTTGTGTGTCCAATCACACTTGGCCAAAAAAACAAAATTCTAATTCTATTCTATTCACAGAAGTCATGAACTCAGCACACTTAAATGCATCTCTTTGCCTCTCTGTGTCTCTTCAGCTTTTTCAACAATTCATCCTTAACCCCATCCTACGGAATAAAATTCAGTTTTCATTTATTTTTTTCCCCACGTGTATTATATTGACGTCTCTCTTTTCTTCCCCTTTCACAGGCAGCCGTGCTCCCCCAGAAACTCCGGTCTTGGAGCCTTTGACGATCACCGCCATTGTCGGTGAGTAAGACTGGCCAAGCGATCTCCATCTCCCCCAACAGAATTGGGGGGGGGGGGGGGCGGATTAGGAGGGAAATCAGCCGGTTCCACTGTTCCGGTTTCCAATGCTGAAACGGCCTCACAAAATCCATGGGTACAGGTAGTCCTGGACTTACAACCAGAGTTGAGCCCAAAATCACCATTGTAAGCAAGACAATTAGGAGGTGGGGTTTGCCCCATTTTGCAACCTTCCTTGCCACCGTTGTTAAGTGAATTGTTCAGTTAGTAACACGATTGTTCAATGAATCTGGCTTCCCCGTTGACTTCATTCATCTGAAGGTCGCAAAAGGGGATCACGTAACCTCGGGACAATGCCACCGTCATAAATACGAGTCCGTTGCCAAGCTCCTGGATTTTGATCACGTGACCACGGGGATATTGCAACGGTCGTAAGCGTGAAAAACAATCCTTTTTTCAGTGCCGTTGTAACTTTGAACGGTCACTAAACGAATGTTTGTTCGGTCAAGGATTACCCGATCGATTTCCATCAACGTGGCATCAAACACAGGACGGCAAAAGCCATTTTTGGCTCGCTCAAGTGCTAGAATACCATGGAAATTCCTGATTTTGGGGGTCTCCATGAAAATGATCAACATTGGTGGGCATCTCCCTCCCTCGGCTAATCCAGGAAGGAGGCCAGATTCTGATGTTCACCTCCCTCTCTCTGCTCTCTGCCTTTCTCCTAGCACTCCTGATCACCATCCTGGCCGCAGCAGCCATCACCCTGTGGGTCTCGAGAAAAGCCAAGCCCCTCCTTGCCCGGCTTCCTCCCAAAGCAGCCTTTAAGCAGCTCATCCTAGTCGAACAGCCTTGAGATTGGCCGGCCGGCCAGGTAAGCCCCAAATCTGATTTAATGGACTTAGCTGGGTTTCTGTCCCTGGGAAGCTTCAACACAGGGACCCCTCAGAGACCCCGATTCTCTCTCTGCCTTCTGTACCTGCTCCCCCCACCCCCCACCCCAGTGTGAATTGCGAAGTTTGCATTATTTGGGGTTAAATAACTTTTCTTTACGTTCCCTTTTGCTACGCCGTTACTTAACGTATGTTCAGCTCGCCCCTCGGGATCTCCCAGACAGGTGCCACAAACAGAGAGGAACGTTAAAAACCATATTTTCTTGAGATGGGCATTGGGAGAACTTGGCAGTGTTCCAGTTCTGCCCTAGACCAGCGGGCTCCAACCTTGGAAACTTTAAGACTTGAAGCTTTGCTGGCTGAGGAATTCTGGGAGTTGAAGTCCACAAGTCTTAAAGTTGCCAAGGTTGGAGAGCCCCGCCCTAGACTGCATCAGCCCAACTGCTTCGAGGGTGGCATTCCAGAAAGCAAGGCCCAGGGGGCTTGCTGAGTTTCGCTCTTTCCCTTTGTAGGGTGGAGGGGGGGAAATATGGCTTCCCTCCCCATAGTCTCCTTTTGGGGCATCCATGGAGATCCTCAATCATTGCAGGTCTGACATTTTGCTTCTCCTCCAAGAAGCTCCTTCAGTTCTGAAACTCAAGAAGCTTCTCGGAGGAGCTTCTTGTTTATGGTGCTCCTCAATCATCTAAGTCACGATTGTCCCAAAGTCTCTGGAGCTTCTCCGTCATTCAGGTCACGGTTTTCCCCAAAAGTGCTTTTCTTTCAAGAGGCAGCTGGACTTTTTTCCTTGAAGACGTTTCTCCTCTCATCCAAGAAGCTTCTTCCGCTTTGACTGGACATGACATATGACTCTTCCACCATTTGTTCAGAGCGGAAGAAGCTTCTTGGATGAGAAGCCAAACAAACGTCTTCAAGAAAAACCAAAGGAAGTTCAGTTGCCTCTTGAAGGAGCACCTTTGGGGCTTCTTGGATGAGAAGGGAAACTTTTCAAGGAAAAAACCCAAGAAAGTCCAGCTGCCTCTTGGAAAGGCCCCTTTGGGGTGCAGAGCCCGGCCTCCCCACTCTGCCATCTTCATTCTTCTTCTGATGTTCTTTCCAGCCAGAAAAGGGAAAGCCCTTTCAGGAGCCCAAGATCTCTTCTCATGTTCCTTTCTTGCAGGAAGTTGCTCCTCGTTCCCTCCCGCGAGGGACTCCGTCACCTGGCCCTCCCAGGAACCTCGGGCAAAATCCTTGGATCTGAAAAGCTGGCAGCCCTGCTGGGACTCCTTGCAGGAACTGAGACTTGGAAGCCACACGGCCTGCAGGTCGTCGCCAGAAGTCCACCTCCTATGGGGGGCAATTAAAATAGGTTTAATATTTAAAATATATCCGGGTCTCTCTCGCTGCCTGCTTGGGCCTGTCCTCCCACAGCAGCTCTGCCGCCTGCCCATTCCGGCAGAAGCCCTTCAGCCCAGACTCTGAGGAGCATCTCCAAGCAAGATGGCCTTCGCGTCCCTCAGACCAGACCCTGACTGGGATTCTTCCAGCACGAGGAAGCGGTGGGATCCCAGCTTCCTTTCTGGGGGTGGTTACTTTCTCCTGTTGGTGCTTCCCCTGTCTGGTGCCTCCAGCTGCGTTGCGCAAGAGCTCTCCAGAAGTCGTGGCTGCTCCATCACTGGAAGTTTTCAAGAAGTGACTGGACAGCCATCTGTCTGAAATGGTGTCGGGGTTCGTGCTTGAGCAGGGGGTTGGCCTAGAGGACCTCCAGGGTCCCTTCCGGCTCTGCTCATTCTGTTATTCTCAACTTCTGGAGATTTGGGAAGGCTGACGGATCCCCCCACAGGACAAAAAGTTGGTTTTGGCTGCTCCCGGGTTTTTCCTGTTGCGTTGCCATCTGCATCTGAACACCGCCTGGTTGTGGAGAGTGACGCTTCCTCAGACTGGGTGGTGGGTCAGAATGTGAGCTATTTTAGGGCAGGAAATCCCCCCCCCCTACTTTTTTTTCCCGTGTCTTGTCCAGCCTGGGGGCTCTACTCGTGCAGCACTGGGGTCGACCCCCTGTCTTGAGCACAAACATTAAAAATCATTTCCCAACCTTTATTGGGGCCTGGCTTCTTTTGTTCTCCTGGAATCTCTGCCCACTCATTAAAGTGCCCCCCTCCCCACCCTTTTCTTTAGACCCCCCCCTCTTTCCATCTTTAGTCCCAGCCTTCCTTCCCAATAGCTCATCCTTACGCCAGCCTTGAGAAGGACCCCAAGCAGAAACGCTGCTGTCCTCGGGGGCTTCTTTGAAAGCACGAAGGGTCTGCAGCCGTGGGATATCCTGCTAGCCCACCCACCCACCCCTGAAGGACCCTCCCAGTTTGTGAGCCCAGGCAAAAGTGCAGCCTTATTTGAGCATCTAAAGCAGGGATGGGCATGTCAACGTTACGGCCTGTGGACTTCAACTCCCAGAATTCCCAAGCCAGCATGAATCCCACATGTGAAGACACCCAGGTCATAACATTGACAAGGTTGCCCGGCCCTGTCTTGAAGCACCTTAAACACTCATTGGAGATCAGACCGGCCCAACCCAACCGCCCAGATGAGCTTCTTAGGTTGACATCTTAAGAACATAATCTGATTAATGCTGTAAGACGCTCAGAAGCAGCTACTTCCAGTTCCATCCAGTCCCGTAACTGGGATTCAGTGGCTTTGCGGGGCTCAGCTGGCTGGTGGCACATGAGCTGCAACGGAGCTGCTAAGAGCAACCCAGATGGTCCTCGGCAGTTAACACAACCCCAGTTCCCCTCAAGGCGTCGGCTGCGGATGGTGGCTGCGAGAGGAGCCCTCGGCCACCAACATGAGGCCGACCGTGCGAAGGAGGGCCAGCCTCTCGGCCAACATGAAGTTCAGGGTCTGTCAGAAGTGCTGCCGGACCCCCAACGACATGGACCTCTTCATCCCCTTCTCTCAGGAGAAGCTGGTCAAGCAGTGGAGCTCCATGGACAATTTGGCCGATTGGGCCCAGGACAGCAGCGATGAACTGTCCCACCCGTGGGATCCGTGTTTCTTGACCCTCAACGTTGGAGGCCAGCACTTCCACGTCGCCGTCCGAGTGGTGGCCAAGTACCCCCTCACCAGGATCGGGCAACTGGCCGTCTGCACGGATCCCGTGAAGAAGCTGGAGCTCTGCGACGACTACTCGGTGCTGAGGAACGAGTACTTCTTTGACCGGGACCCTCTGGTCTTCCGCTACGTCTTCCAGTTCTACCGCAGCGGCATCATGTGCATCCTGACTGAGTTCTGCACGGCCAACTTCCTGGAGGAGATCGAGTACTGGGGGATCCACATGAAGTACACCCAGCAGTGCTGCCGGATCCTCTTCGAGGAGCAGCACGACGAGATGGTGGAGTACCTGAAGATCCAGCGGATGCTGGAGGCCGAACTGGAGACGGTCGAGAAGGAGGAGCACTTTGAGGGGAAGTTCCTGGGTCAGTTCCGGAAGGCCATCTGGAACCTGATCGAGAACCCTTACTCCTCCACCCTGGCTAAAATCACGGCCATCTTGTCCAGCTTGTGCGTCCTGTTCTCGGTGGTGGGGATGAGCCTCAGCACGGTGAAGGAGATGCAGGGCAAGACCGCCAAGCAGTGCATGGAGCACATGGAGACCGCCTGCGCCATCTTCTTCACCCTGGAGTACCTCATGCGGCTGGTCTCCACCTCCAGCCCGCAGCAGTTCTTCCGGGCGGCCTTCAGCGCCATCGACCTGGTGTCCATCCTGCCCTTCTACACCCAGGTCGTCTTTGAGTACCTGTACGAGGAGGACTCCGAAGACAACGAGGAGATGCACCAGATGCGCAACGTAGGGAAGCTGGGCAAGGTCCTGAAGCTCATCAAGCTGATGCGGATCTTCCGTATCCTCAAGCTGGCCCGGCACTCCACGGGGCTGAGGGCCTTCGGCTTCACCCTCCGGCAGTGCTGCCAGCCGGTCTGCTGCCTCCTCCTCTTCATCGCCATGGGCATCTTCACCTTCTCCGCCCTCATGCACTCCGTCGAGCACGACGTCCCGGGCACCAACTTCACCAGCATCCCCGACGCCTGGTGGTGGGCGGCCGTAAGTCAACCCTTCCACACACACACACCACACACACACCACTCCCTTACACACACACGTGATCGGCTAATAATAATCACAATAGCAGAGCTGGAAGGGGCCTTGGAGGTCTTCTAGTCCAACCTCCTCCTCAGGCAGGAGACCATTTCAGACAAGTGGCTGTCCAGTCTCTTCTTGAAAGCCTCCAGTGATGAAGCTCCCACAACTTCCGGAGGCAACTTCTGTTCCATCAATTAATTGTTCTGACTCAGGAACAATTTCTCCTTAGTTCTAAGTTGCTTCTCTCCTTGATTAGTTTCCACCCGTTGTTTCTTGTCCTGCCTTCAGGGGCTTTGGAGAATAGGTGGACTCCCTCCTCTCCTTTGGGGCAGCCCCTCAAATACTGGAAGGCTGCTATCGTGTCTCCCCTAGTCTTCCCTCAATCGTCCATCCTATAGTTTGGCCCCTCGTCCTCTTTGGGGTTGAGATGGAGTTGGCTCCATGTGGCAAGTGAGTTTGCTTCAGCTGAGGAGAACCTCTTGCTCTTCTTCTTTTCTCCTTCTCCTCTTCCTCCTCCTCCTCCTCCAGGTGAGCCTCTCCACCGTGGGCTACGGGGACACAGTGCCGGAAACCTTCCTGGGCAGGGTGGTGGCCTTCGGCTGCATCGCCTTCGGCATCATCCTCAACGGGATGCCCATCTCCATCCTCTACAACAAGTTCTCCGACTACTACGCCAAGCTCAAGTCCAACGAGGACAAGACCACCGTGGCCCTCAAGGTCCCCCGGAAGCAGAACCTCAAGGAGAGGCTCCTGAACAAGATGAACCAATGCTGCTGACCCCAACAGCAGCAGCCGGGCAGCCTGGACCCCCTCCCTCCCTCCCGGTAGTCCCAACACCCCCTGCGGCTTCCTCCCCCACCCCCCGTGTTTCCCCTGCTGTGCCAGCCATGCCATCTTTGCTCCCTCGCACCCGGGACAGCCAGCCGGCCTCGTTGGCCCCTCCCGCCTTGCCCTCCTTTCCCTGCAGATGCCCGGGGAGGGGGAAGCGGGGGGGGGGCAGAGATGGCTGATTCCTCCCCCCCCACCTCTCTTCCGTCTATCCAGAGCTGAGCCGCCTGCCATAAAACTGCAGCTAGTCCTTGACGGACAACAGTTCGCTTAATGACCGTTCAAAGTTACGACAGCACCAAAAAACATCACTTATGACCGTTTTCCGCAGTTAACGACCCTTGCAACATCCCCGTGATCAAAATTCCAATGCTTGGCAACAGACTCCTATTTAAGACGGTTGCAGTGTCCCGGGGAGAAGGCAACGATTCACTTAACAACCAGGTCACTAGCTTAACGAATGCAATGATTCACTTAACAACTGACAAGAAAGGTCGTAAAACGGGGCGAAACTCACTTCACAACAAGTCTCAGCAACATAAATTTTGGGCTCGATTGTGGTCGTAACTGGAGGACTACAAGCACCTGTAACCCCAACACCTGTGTAGTCCTGGATGGTTCAGCTTCCGCCTGGTCTTCTGAAGGCACACCTGGGAAGCAGGTGCTGGGATCCGCTGGCAAGGCCCTGATGCCCAAAGGAGCCTCGGAAACCACCTGCCCACCTGGGTTTTACCTGCCTCCCCTAAGCCAGGTGGAAGGCCTTCGGCCGGCTTTATTTTGAATCCCGCCTTTATTATTTTTATAAGCAACTCGAGGTAACCAACCTATCTAGCCCTCCTCCCTCCTCCTCTTTTCCCCATCACAACAACCCTGTGAGGTAGACTGGGCTGAAAAAGGGGGGGATTGGCCCAAAGTCTCCCAGCTGGCTTTCACACCAGCTAAGGAGGGACTAGAACTCCCGTCTCCTGGCTTCTAGACTGGCAAAAACTGGGGCGGGGGAGGGAGTCAGCCGGCAGAGCCAATCCTGAGCCCATGCCCGTGGGGGGGTCAGAGTCCTAAGGCCTGCAGCAGAGTCACCCTTCTAAAAGTGAGATTTGGGGCTGGTGACTGGGGAGAGTTGGCCCTGAAGGCTGTAGGCTCTGCACCGGCCTTTTTTCAACCTGGGGAACTTTGAAGAACTTGAGCAGAGGGTTGGACTAGATGACCTACAAGGTCCCTTCCACAGTCCTATTCTATTCTGTTCTGTTCTTTTTTGTTCTGTTCTATTCTACTACTCTACTCTTACACCTCTACTCCTCTTCTACTCTATTACTCTATTCTATTCTACTCTATTCTACTTTATACTACTACTCTATTACTCTATTCTACTACTCTACTCTACTCTATTAATAAGGGTGGAATTCCCCAGCCAAGCCTTGTAGTTAAAAGATTTGCCGAATCGGTTTGGCGAGCGACCGTCCCAGGGAGCCTTCAGGAAGGACCGTCTTTACCCGAGTGGGAGAATCGAGGAAAGACCGGCCCCCTATCTGGGCCAGGTAGGGGATGGGCACTGGGGGGGCAGTCCTGCCCTCCGCCTCTCCCTCCACCCTCGAAATCCACCTTTCCCAGCAGAATGAGCTGATCCTGGGAACAGAGCGCCCCTCCTGCAAGGATCACATCCTCCTCCCCCCCCATGTTGGCAGCAGCGGAGCACAGGTTGGGATTTGGGGGGGGGACCTATTCCTTGAATTTCCCAGTTCTTTCAGCACCCCCCACCCCTCCTTTCCATCTGCTCTCCCTCACACCTTCTGATTTTGTTTACTGGGAAAATGCCATTTGCTGGTGCCCGATGAGCCGTAGGTAAACTCTCCATGCCCAGCAATTCTCCTTTCTGGGGCCAGATGAAATCTTCAGCGTAAGGTTGCTGGACAGGGAAGGTGTACACACACACACACACACACACACACACATACACACACACACACACACACGCAAACTCTGGCTTTTTCTGGACTGCACCTGTTTCCTTGCCAATTTCAGGGCCGGTGGGAACAGAGCAGAGCAGGCTGCAGGTGAAACATAGCCACAAAACTTTCTGCAAGGAGCTCAAAAGAGTTTTTGCAACTCTGTTGGGCCCGTTGGCAGACAGACCTGCCCCTCCTCAGTCCCCCCCCCCCAGCTGGCACCCCACTTGGCACTAAAAGGAGCAACACCGCCAGAAGCTTGGAAACAGTTTGCATTTAATGTGGAGACGGCAAGGAGGCACTTGGCAAAATCATAACCACCATAAAAAACAAAATATTTACAAGTCTCGGGAAGCTTGTCATATATATATATACATACATACACACACATACATATTTATAGATATTTATATAAATTAAAAGTTTGGCTATCTACAGTATGGTACATTCCGCAGGACGCAACTTCTCTTCCCAGGAACACCGCAGCCACTGCTGCATCCCGGAGCTTGATGCCTTCGAGGAGACCACGTGGAAATTGAAGGCTTCTCTGTTTGGTCCCAGCTGTTTGCTCTTTGGAGGTAGACTGCTGCGGAACAAGGAGGCTCGACTTGTTTCCCATGATGCTTAGCTGGAACGAACCCTAAATATATTTTCTTCTTTTTCTAATCAGCGTTGGGCCTAGCTAACCTCGTTCTTCCATGAAAGCATCGCCGTTTAAATCATTTTTAAAGCTGGCAAGACATTTTTCTTGTGGCAGTCAGTTCCACAGATTCAATAAGCTTTGTCTTGCTCTCCTCGGTGGCTTGTCTTTTCTTCTTCAAACAGCGGGTGGGCAGAGAGGGTCCAGGCTGCCTCCTTTGCATCAGGGAGGCTAATCAAAGCAGGAAAAAACCCCTGCGAACTCCTCAACCCACGTTTCTAGAAATTCAGGGGAAGGAATTGAACTCGTGCCACAGGGGCTACAACAGTTCCAAAGATCATCATTTGTGCCCTTCATAATTCAGAAAAAAATTTCATATTACAGGATTGTCCATTTAGGGTGGGGGGGGTCCGTCCAACTTTGCAAATTTAAGACCGGCGGACTTCAACTCCCAAAATTCCCCAGGAGTTGAAGTCCTAAAGTTGCAAAGTTGGATGCAAACTTTTGATTTACAGAGAAAAGTTCCTGGAAGTTTCCCCCTCCCCTCCCCTTAAAAAGTCCTCCAGGAAGGCCCTGAGGGACCAAGGTCAGGGTTTGGATGTGGGAGGGGGCATCACTGTGGCAGCCTCTCCCTTCCCCCACCACGTGCCCGGGGGGGGGGGCGGCTTCAGTGGCATCCGCAGCTGCCGGCCACCATCCCGTCGTACTGTTTCAACACCACCGTCTCGTCGTCGTCAAAGTAGAGCAGGTTGATGGAGAAGAGCTTGTCCGGGACGCAACACGGGGTGTGGACCTCCGGGCTGAGCTTCAGGGCGTGGATGATGGACTGGACGGTGGCGTGGTTGGTGGGCCGCATGCTTTGGCCCAGCGGGAAGCGGCAGGTGCCCTTGCAGTGATAGGCGTTGTAGCCGCGCGGCGAGATGATCCAGCCCGTCCAGCCGATCTCGTCGAAGTCCACCGGGAGAGGGTAGCGCTGGCAGGGCAGGGAGCTCTCGGCCGAGCGAGGGCCGCGGGTCCGGTTGGAGGGGGGCTCGGGGACAGACGGCAGACCTGCAAATGGGGGGCGAAGAGGCCGAGAATTGGCTCACATCCCCCGCTTGGCATCAGCATGTCGGGTGCCCCAAGGGAGGCTACGACGGCCCCCTCACGCAAAATGCATGGTAAAGTGTGACTCACCGGGGAAGCCGCTGGGCAAGGCAGCCGCCCGCCGCCCGTCGTCCGTGAACAAGACCAGCATGGGCTTCTTGCTGGCGTGGTGGTCCCTGCCCGAGGCGAACTGCACGGCGTGGGGGTCCAGGGGGGCCCCTCCGAGGCCCTGTACCGTCACAAGCAGGCCCTGGTTGCTGCTCTCTTCCGCCACCCAGTCGCGGACCTGGAAAGGGGGGGCACTGGTTGGCATCCCGCTGGGCACGAGTGAGCGAGCCAAGCCCCAGCCCAAAGCCCCCCCCCCTTGTTCTCAGCCCCCCCACACACACACGCACATGCAGGTGGGGGGCATCGGTGGGCATCAGTTGGCATCCTGCTGGGCTCAAGTAAGCGAGCCAAGCCCCAGCCCAAAGCCCCCCTTGTTCTCAGCCCCCCCACACACACACGCACATGCAGGTGGGGGGCATCGGTGGGCATCAGTTGGCATCCTGCTGGGCTCAAGTAAGCGAGCCAAGCCCCAGCCAAAGCCCCCCCTTGTTCTCAGCCCCCACACACACACATGCAGGTCGAAGCCAGGGGCACCTAAGCCCCCTCCCCAATGACCCCCAGAGGGTGGCGCTCACCGCCTGGGTGATGGAGAAGACCTCCCAGCCGAAGCCCTGCAGAGCCAGCAGCCGGGCAGAGAGCAGCTTCTTCCCCTGGGGGGCTTCTGGGTGGTCCTTGTCCAGCACCTGATAAACGCAGACCTGGGGGAGGAGAATGAGAAATGGGGGGTTAGGATTAGCCGAAGCCCAATGGGGTGGGGGGGGCTTCTCTCCCCAGCAGCCCTTTTAGGAGCCTTTCCCCCTAGAGATTCAGGGCACTCTGCACATGCTTGCCTAACCTGGTCGCCTCCCCTCTCTTTCTCTGACTGCCCTCGCTCAGTTTTGATGGGACTACATCTCCCAACATCCCCAGCGGCCCCGCTTGATAGGATGTGCTTGGAGTTCAGGCAGCTTTTGAAAAAGGAAGGGGCCAAGATGTGGGGGGGAGGAGAAGGGGAGGAGAAAAGGGAGTGGGAGGAAGAGGAGGATGGGACGAAGGGAGGGGAGGGGGAGGAGAAGAGGATAGAAGGGGGTAGGGGGAGGAGGGGCAATGGTAGGGAGGGGGAGAAGGAAGAGGAGGAAGGGAAGAAGGGAGGGAGAGGCGATGGAGAGAAGGCACAGAAGGATGGGAGGGAGGAATAAAAGGAGGTAGAGAAGGAGGGGTCCCTCAATAGACAATAGGAGCAAAGAGGAGCCTCCATTGTCAGGGGCAGTCTATCTTGGAGGGCCAGGAGAGCACCGTCCCTGCCCCTTTGGCAGGGCTGGTCATGGAGAAGGAGGCCAGGACCGAGATCAAGATGCCCTCAAGAAGCAGCTGGCATCAGATGTGGGAGAGGGGGCACCCCTGGGGATGCTTCATGCCCACCGATTCCAGCTTTAGAGGTCGGGCGAGGGGAAGGGCCCATGCGCCACAGCCTGGCTGGACCAGCAGCCGCTGGGCGTCAAGAGTGCCTCTGAGCATACCTGGCAGTAGTGCTGCCTCTGCAGGACGGCCCCCTCGGCCCCCCTGGCCCGCAGCTTGAAGAGGTGCAGTTCGGCCGACAGCACGACCTCGTTCTTGGCCACGCTGGACAGCAGGAAGAGCAGCTGCATCTGGTCGCTGTGAGCTGAAAGGGAAGGAGAGTTGGCACCGGGCAGCCCACAACAGCCCTACCAGGTAGACCAGGCAGAGGGCATGTGGGCCAGACTGACCCCCTGGCAATCTGCTTTGGGTCTGCGTGTCCATCATTGGCTCTCCATCTTATACCAAATCAATATTTTTCAACCTTCAGAACTTGAAGACGGGTGGACTTCAACTCCCAGAATTCCCCAGCCAGCTGGCTTCAGGTTCCCAAGGTTGGAAAAGACCCCTGGAAATGAATAATCTCCCATTCTTCCTGCACCCCTTCAAAGGGGCAGAGGCTGATCCTAGGCAAAACTTTCCCGTCTTTAGGGTGTCCCACCGAAGCCAATTTAGAGAGCTGCCCCACACCCCAAAAAGCCCAGCCCCGTTCTCGAGAAGGGAAAAACGACCAGTGGGAAAAAATTGCTTCAACTAACATTCACAACTGAGGAGGGGGAAATTGGTGGGGTGGGGGAACCTTTCTGCCAATCCTTGGGAAGGAGAACCAATAAAAGTCAAACCAGACAAGGGGAAAGTGAATCCCTCCTTTTCAATGTTCAAATATTCAAACGCCCCACCACACACACACACACACACACTTTGGTTATTCTCAGGGGCTTTGATAGAGATCTGGGGGCTGGAGAGACACACCTGTTAGCAAAGTTGAGGGGGGGGCAATTTTAAGGCAGAAAGGGATTAAATCCGAAGCATCTCACACTGGAGGGAGAATTTGCTGCACACACACAAGGAGGGATGGAGAGAGAAAGAGAGAGAAAGAGAAAGACGGACAGACAGAGGGAGAGACAAAGAGAGAGAGAGAGGATGGGGGGGGGGCCTCCAGGATTTTGAGATGCTTTGTCAGCTGCCAACTCTGGGGGCAAAGTAGCCCCCCACCCATCTGCACAACAGAAGATGCCCCCTCCATCATGGCATGGGCAACTGGCATGGACGCAGAAGGGACCCCAATTCCCATCCAAGCCCCTCCCTGGCCCAAGGATGCCCTGGAGAGGCCAGCCCGGTTTAAAGAGAATCAGCTAAACTGGGAAGGGGGGAGGGCAGGTTAGAAGACCGGAGCATCAGGCCCTTCTAGATGGCCTCAGGCATCCCTGCGGGAAGCCTCTGGGACCCCCAGCTGTGGGAAATCACAGAATAACAGAGCCGGAAGGGACCTTGGAGGTCTTCTAGTCCAGCCCTCTGCTCAACTAGGGGGAAAAAAATACCATTTCAGACAAAACAGTTCTCCCAAAAACTTCCAGTGTTGGAGCAGCCCCAACTTCTGGAGGGAAGCCCTTCACAAAGTGGGGGGGGGGGGAGAAAGGGGGGGGCAGGGGTTTCTTCATTCCCCCCCCCCCCGCCCCCCCCTGGGGGGGGGGGGGAGTCTGTTCTGAGTTTCCAAGCAGCAGCCCTTGGGATTAAACCCCCCTCCACGCAGCCTTTCTCTCCTCTCATCCCCCCCCCTCTTCTAGTAGCAAAGCCCCCTCCCCACTCCAGGGACTCACTCCTGTCCAGGAAGCTGCGCACGGTGTTGCCTTCCAAGAGGTGGGGGTCTTTGGTGACCCCGTCAGCGTCGGCCACGGTGTTGTAGAGGTCCACCATGTACTGGGGGGGCTCCTTGGAGTAGAGGGGGGCCTGCGGAGGGTCTTCGATGCCAAAGACCTCCAGCAGCTGCTTCAGGGCCTGGTCCCGGGTGTCTTCGGAGCCCCAGGTGGGCTTGGCGGGGCAGGCAGGTGCCCAGGTGAGCAGCAGCAGCAGCGACAGGAGCTTCCTCATCTCGGCTTCTGGGATTCCTCAAGAGGACTAGCTCCTCTGGGCCGGCCCTGGTCTCCTTTATACCCCCGAGCAGAAGGGGCAGAAGCTGATGGGCCATCAAGGGAGGGCAGGGGATTAATGGGCCCGCTAACAAGGTGCCAAGCAGCCCATCAGCTCAGTCCACACCTGGCAGGGCTGTGGATTCCTTCCTCGGGAGGGACCCCCCCCTCCAGTTGGGGGGTGGGCTGAGTGTTTGTGGTTGGGGCTGAGCCAGCCTGGGCAGGAAGGAGGGGGGAGAATTCCCCCCCCCCACAGGCCTCCCCAAAGTTTATTGAGGGTCGGAGGCTGCCAGCCAGATGAGTCGGCTCTCCGCAGGGGGCTAACGGGCATCTAATGGGGAGCAGTGGGGGGCCATTTGCAGACAGGAATTGGAGGCTTCTGGGAGGAGAAAAGGGGGAGAAGCCGCAGAATGGGGGACCCTCCATGGGGCAGCGCCCTTCACCCCAAACGGTGACCCTCCTGGCTGGAAAGAAAGGTCTCCTCTCCCCTCTCTTTCTTGGGGTGCCAGATGGAGCCCCTTGGCCCTCCAACAAGAGGGGTGGGGGTGGCTGGAGGCATGGGAGAAATGGGGGGGACTGCAACTGAGCCCCTTGGAGGCCAAACAGTGTCCTGCCCCTGTGCCGAGGGCCTTTCTAAAAAGCACAACAATGATTCTAGTCCTCATGGAATTTCAAGGGCTCAAACTGACCTTCTCCTGCACCATTGAGTTCCTGGGCCCCGTGAGCCCCATGTTTTACGGGACCTGCTCTGTGTAGAACTCCAGAGGGCACCTGCTTCCCTCCACAACCTGCCCCCAATTGCTTCTCCCCCTTCGCTGGCCAGATGGGAGTGCAAGCAGCTTCCACACCACTCGGTTTGCACCAAGCTTGAGCGGGCAGCCTTGTGAACGCCACAAAGGTTGCTCTGCACGGAAGCCTCCATCCTGGCCTCATCAATTAGTGGGACCCAGGAAGGGGGTGTCCTCCATCTCTGCCCCCACCCTCACCAGGCCCCCAAGATTCAGTTGCTCCCCCTCCCCCAGCAGGCTTAATTTCTGAAAAATCCTTGGAAGGGTTTTTCTTCCCAGCCCCATCAGCTCCTCAGCAGCCCTCGATCAGGATAGAGCTAGAAGGGACCTTGGAGGTCTTCTAGTCCAACCCCGGTCCCCTCAAGGAGGAGACCCTGTACTATTTCAGACAGGTGGCTGACCAGTCTCTTCTTGAAAACCTCCAGTGTTGGAGCTCCCACAACTTCTCGTGGCAAGCAGTTCCACTGGTTAATTGTCCTCACTGTTAGGAAGTTTCTCCTTAATTCCAGGTTGCTTCTCTCCTCAATTGGTTTCCACCCATTGTTTCTTGTCCTGCCCTCTGGTGCTTTGGGGAATAGCTTGACACCCCCCCCCTTCTTTGTGGCAACCCCTCAAATACTGGAAGTCTGCTCTCCTCCCCCCCCCCCCCCCAAGTCCTTCTTTTCTCTAGACTGGCCAGACCCAAATCCTGCAGCCGTTCTTCTTCTTCGCTTTTCTCTGCACTTTTTCCAAAGTCTCAACATCGTTTTTTGTAGTATGGTGACCAAACCTGGATGCAGCATTTCCAGGAGTGGCCTTGCTAAGACTTCCCATGATTTTCATTCTATGCCGATGTTTATGCAACCAAGAAGGATTGTATTCGCTTTTCTGGCTGCTGCCCCACACGCCTGGCTTTACTTGTGGGTCTAGACCCAGTTCTCCTCTCTCAATGATTTCCTACAGGTGTTCTTTTTTAAAAATCTGTTTTTAGCAGGGTGGGCGACCCAGACTGCCTCTGAAACAGGCAGCCTTATAAGTGAAATAAATTGCAATCTGTTTTCCTGCAGTTTGTTGGCCATCCATCCTGCCACCTGTGCTCTACCCAAACCGGGCCCAGCTCTCCAAAGGGCAGGGCCTATTTCAGCCCAGGGTTGCTGCCCTCCCCCCCCCCCCCCCACATCTGCAGGGCTTCTCCAAGGCCCAGTCTCAAGTTCCCAGACCCCCCCCCACCCCCACCCAGAAGACATTGACCCTGCATCAAAGGGCTGGTTTTTATTCCTGTTGGCCAACACCATTTGAGCAGGGGGTTGGACTAGAAGACCTCCAAGCTCCCTTCCAGTTCTGTTCTATTCTATTCTATTCTATTCTATTCTATTCTATTCTATTCTATTTATTCTATTCTATTCTTATATTTCATTTCATTTCATTATTTCCTCCTTTTCAAATTTCTGGGTGCTGGATCTGCCAACCAATCAGGAAGGGAGATTTTATTTTTAGGAAAATGATTCCATCTCTCCGTCCATCCGTCCCTCCCATTCTGAGCTCTGGCCAGTTAGGAAAGGCTGGCAGTCTGCCAAGGAAGACTCTCCCCACACCCAAAAAAGGGGCTGCAGGAAAGAGCCAGCTTTGCCCAGTGATTAGGCTGAGACCCCCATGGTGCAAGACCCCAGGAGGGGTTGTCTGGGTGATGGATGGAGAGCCTCCCCCCTCCCAAACAGAGTTCCAAAGGGTGGGTGCCATGGTCAGATGGTACCCAAACATCCTGGCAGGCCTGCAGGTATCCAGGTGCCCCCCACCCCTCCATACTTCATTCTGGAAAGCTGTTGATAGGCCTTGTTGATGCTGAACTTCTGGGGGTCCTCCAAAGCTGGCTTGGGACCCCCAAGAGACCCCCAGAAGACGGGTGAACTTGTGAGGCAATCCCACCAGGGGTGAAATCCAGCAGGTTCTGACAGGTTCTGGAGAACCGGTAGCGGAAATTCTGAGTATTTCGGAGAACCAGCAAATGCCACCTCTGGCTGGCCCCAGAGTGGGGTGGGAATGGGGATTTTGCAGTATCCTTCCCCTGCCACGCCCACCAAGCCACGCCCACAGAACCGGTAGGGAAAAAATTTGGATTTCACCACGGAGTCCCACAATTTTCAACATCCCTTCATCTATTATCCTTGGCTTTTCATTTGGTTCTTATCCTGCTTTAATGGATTTATTAACTCTTTTTAGCCCTGTTGTATGGCCTGCAAGCAAGAGTCGCTTATATGAGAGATGGACAGCCGTATAAATTGGTTTAATGAGAAATAAGAAATAAAACTTGGGGGTGTCTTGAGGCTGCCCATGTTTAATTTTGCTGCAGGCAGCCATCCCCAGTCCAGCCTTCAGCCCAAAGGTTTATCAAATCTCAGGCTCCCCAAAACCGAAGAGACCCCACACCAGGCAATGTATATATGGGTCAGGGGGCTTCGATGATGCATTCTGGGCTGCCATCGTGATGTTCTGGCCCCCTTTGGTTAGAATTAGCCCAATTTGGATTGCTGTGCAAATTCAGCCATCGGCCCTGGATTAAACCTGGAGGAAGAGGTTGTGTGAATAGAGCTAGATTTGGGTTACCCCGTGAAGGACAATCGCACTTCGGGACAGAGCAAAAGGCAGCCTGCCCCAGCCTCGGTCTTTGCAGCCCCCCAAGGAGGAAACGCAGCCCGGCTGGAGTTGCAAGCAAAATCCCCCTGGAACTTTTGCTCCGTGATATGATTGTGTCCGGGAGGCAAAACCCACCAGCTGGGCCCTCCCGTTCTGCATAAATTTTATTTATACACCGTCTCTCTCTCTCTTTCCAGGGTGGTACAGGCACTCTTGGGAGGGAGGAGCAGGCCGCGGCTGCTCCCTTCAATTCTTTCGGCTCCACAGGTGAGGCAGCCTGGCGGCTCCTGAGCGTTTGGGTCCACATTTGCACGTCCGGATGACAAAAATGGTGCGTAGCTCCCCAGTCCGGCTTTGGAAAGTCTTGGTCTCGTAGCCATGAGGGATGCAGTGACTGGCAGCGGCTCTCACCCCCCCCTGGCTCCCTGGGGAAGGAAGAAAGACAGGAGCAGTGAGGCAGGGCAGGGAGGGAGGGGAAGGGAAGGGAAGGGAAGGAAGAGGAGAAGGAAGGAAAGGAAAGGAAGAGGAGAAGGAAGGAAAGGAAAGGAAAGGAAGAGGAGAAGGAAGGAAAGGAAAGGAAAGGAAAGGAAAGGAAAGGAAAGGAAAGAAGGAAGTTAATGGGAAAGGAAGGGAAGGGAAGAAAGGAAAGGAAAGGAAAGGAAAGGAAAGGAAAGGAAAGGAAAGGAAAGGAAAGGAAAGGAAAGGAAAGGAAGTTAATGGGAAGGGAAGGGAAGAAAAGGAAGTTAATGGGAAGGGAAGGGAAGAAAGGAAAGGAAAGGAAGAGGAGAAGGAAGGAAAGGGAAGGAAAGGAGTTAATGGGAAAGGAAGGGAAGGGGAAAGGAAAGGAAAGGAAAGGAAAGGAAAGGAAAGGAAAGGAAAGGAAAGGAAAGGAAGAGGAGAAGAAAGGAAAGGAAAGGAAAGGAAAGGAAAGGAAAGGAAAGGAAAGGAAAGAAGGAGGAAAGGAAGTTAATGGGAAGGGAAGGGAAGAAAGGAAAGGAAAGGAAAGGAAAGGAAGAGGAGAAGGAAGGAAAGGAAAGGAAAGGAAAGGAAAATGGGAAGGGAAGGGAAGGAAAGAAAGGAAAGGAAAGGAAAGGAAAGGAAAGGAAAGGAAGAGGAGAAGGAAGGAAAGGAAAGGAAAGGAAAGGGAAAGTGTTCTGGTAAGGCAGATGAGACTAAAAAAAGTGTTACACATAAAAAGCAGCAAAGCAGCAATGCCCCTCCCCTACCATAAAGAGAGTGATTAGAGGGAGAGAGAGAGAGAGAGAGAGAAATATATGACAGATGGAGATATCAGAACTGATCCAAAGGCCTCCAAAGTGTATTTTGAAGAATTCTCCACTTCCTCTCTTTCTCCATTCTTTCTCTTCCTCCCCAGATGTTGAATTCCCAGCTATTCACACATTCCTGTCCTGGCCTTCCCAAAGGATGGCGGCCAGGTGGGCCCCCTCCCCGCTGCAGTCTCTGGGGGGGCGCAGGGGGGGCTATGGGCTCTCTTGACACCCCTAGACCAGGAGCAAATGGGGCAGCCTCCCTCCGCTGTCTGTCACTGCTCTAATCCCAGGACCCCAATACACACCCCGGGAGGAAATGAAAGGGAGGGATGGCTGGGGCTCTGTGTGTGTGTGTGTGTGTGTGTATGATTTTTTTGGGGGGGGTGCCCCTGTGTGTGTGCCTGCTGTTCCCCACCCCACCCCCTGCTTCTGGGCAGCCTTACCTCAGCTGGCATCTTCCTGAGCACCTTCCGAGGTCAATTTCCTGAAAGATTTGCAAAACAAAGAGCAGAGAAAAAGGCTGCCTTCCTTTCACTTGGCTGGGGGGGTGGGGGATGGAGGGGGGGCTATCTTTGCAAGAAGCTGGCCTGGCCTGTGGGGTTCCCCCCCCCAATAAAGGGTATCAGTCCTTTTTTTGCATCATCCAATTCTCAAATTCCCCTTGCCACATCCGTCCCTGGCACCCGTGGCTGGGGAGGATGGGTGAGGCTGGCACCCCCTTTCGACCTCACAACGCCTCTTAAGGGCAGGGCGCTTTCCCAACCTGCCAGTCTTAAATGCTACCAGCCCCCCCCTTTTTTTAAAAAGGTTTTATTATTATTATTTTTAATTTATACATATCATTGTGTGAATGGCGCGATGCTTGAGTATCATACATTTCAATACTTATAAACATATTCCTAATTATTGCATTCCATTTTCCTTATTTCATATTATTTACTCCTACCTTTTACACAAAATTTTAATTTTCATATAAATATTAACTAATATGCAATAACATCTAAACCGATGTGCTGTAGCATCTGTATTATCTTTCATTATAGTTTCAATAGTAAAACCCTCAAGAAAAAAAATACATGAAACTGTCCATCTGTTTTCTTTTTTTACCCATTTTTACAACATCCCTCTCCTTCCCTCTTCTTTCTCCTCCCTCTCTTCTCTACTCCCCTCTCCTTCTCTCTCCTTCCCTCCTTCCTTCTCCTCTCCTTCCCTTTCTCCTTCTCTCCTTCTCCTGTCCCCTCTCTATTTCCCCTCTCTTTTCTTCTCTGCTTCTATCTCCTTCCCTTTCTACTCTTCTCCTCCCCTCCCCTCCCCTCCTCTCAGCCCCTTTTTTGAGGTTGGGACCAAGCTCTGCCCAGGTGCCCAGGGTCGGGGTGCTGTGACTTCAGCCCTCCCCCGGCCCCCCAGCCCCCCATACCCAGGATCTCAAAACTTGCCAATCCAACAGTGACATTGGGGGGATTATTATTTTGAACAATTGGGGGGGGGGGCTATCTTGCCTGATATTATTTTTATAAATGTCAAGATGGCGAAGAGACCTCCCCCCCACCACAACAACCCTCCAAGGTGGGAGAGAGAGAGAGAGAGAGAGAGAGAGAGAGAAGGGGAGATTGTCCCAAGGTCACCCAGTTCAAGGCATCCGCCCCTTTTCCCAGCTGGCATTCATGCCAACGGATCCAGGAACAGCCAAGATAGCCTCAGCTGAGGACTGGGCCTCTTTGAAGGTAGACCATGCCTGAATAAAGGAGCTCACACTCATCCGTGGCCCACAGTTCTTAGCACACCACCAATTCGTCTAAAATTACTCAAGACACTTAGAGTAATCAAAACTGCCCTAAGGAGCAGTCATAGTTGGTGTAGGAATTCCAGGTTTCTACCAAATTATGGGGGTGGGTTTTCCTAGGAACACCAGCTGCAGGAGAGATGCTGCTTGGATCCCACCTGGATTGGTGCCCCTCCCTCCTGCTTCTCCCCCAAACCCTTCCCAGTGACTTGGGCTATATCATGCCCTTGGGGGAAAACTGGGGCAGGGGGCAACGGGGAGGCACAGAGGAAGAACAGACCTTCCGTTGCTCTCTCTTCCTCCCTTCGGCGTTCAGCACCACCTCCGAGTAATGTTCCCAGTGGGGCACCCGGTAGCAAGAGGCCCCTTGGCCCTGGCAGCCCCCCAGCATCTGGACCAGGCGCTTCCCGTTGGGGCCCTGCAGGAGGACCGAGTCGAACGCCGTTGGCACGCAGAAGGACCCACCTGGCAGAGGGACAGAGAGAGTCACCCACCGGACACCAGCGGCCCACACCCCGGGCCCAGTGGCAAAGCCACGTTTTGCACAAATGGACACGTGGCTCTTTTCTGTGTTGTTCCTGGTGGACTTAGTTAGTTAGTTAGTTAGTTAGTTAGTTAGTTAGTTAGTTAGTTAGTGTGGGTGTCCATGGTAAAAAAAATGACAATAAAGCTTATTTTATCTTTTTATCTTTTATCATCTTATCTTTTATCTTATCTTATCCTATATATATATATATTTTAATTTGATTTATATGCCGCCCTTCTCCAGAGACTCAGGGCGGCTTACAAGGCGTTAAGCAATAGCCTTCATACTTTTTGTATATATTTATACAAAGTCAGCTTATTGCCCCCACAAACTGGGTCCTCAATTTACCTACCTTAGAAAGGATGGAAGGCTGAGTCAACCTGGAGCCTTGGAGAGATTCGAACCAGCAGTAAATTGCAGGCAGCTGGTCTTAATAACCAGCTTATTATATATCTTGTCTCTTATCTCATATCTCATCTCATCTTATCTCATCTCATCTTAGTTGGGTTGCAGTGGAGAGGCAGCCTGAGGTAGGAAGTTAAGGCAGCCTTTTGTGTCCAGAGCTCTGCCTGCTTTCATGGGGAGGGGGGAACAGCTCTCTGGCCCTTGCAGGACAGCCCTCCCCACCCCGGGACCCCAAGCAACTCCCATGCTCCCCATCCCAGCCAGGGCTCATCTTGGCAAAGCTGAACTCCGCACGGCTGGATGCCCCAGCTGGCTCACCTGGGGCGGGTGGGGGGCCGGCACACCTGCCCACGTCCAGGGTCTGCTCCAGAGGGGAGTCGGGAAAGAAGGTCTTCAGGGCTGGTGACCGGAGGCATTCGTCTGGCCTGGCATTGCACTGGCAGCCGTCCACCACTTCCACCTGCCGAGGGCCGTCCCGAAGCCAGCGGTCCTGCACCAGGAGGCGGCTGGGCTCGCAGCGGGAGCCGGGTGGGCAGCAGCCTTCGGAGTGGGGGTCTCCCCTGGGCCTGGCTGGCCACTGCGAGGGCCTCTCCTGCAAACACAAGGGCGGGGAGGCTAAGTTAATGCCCGGGCATCAGGTAGAAGCCAAATGGTGCCAGGGGAATGAGGAGCACAGGATGCCCCAGAGACCGATCTGATCGGTCCGTGGATGGGAGGCCAACAGGAAACCCTCAGTCAGGGCAGAGAAGGCAGAGACCCAACCCAGCAGAAAGCCAGGGTCCCCGAGGGGTTGGCTGCCAAGAAAAGGACCGGAGTGGGGGGGGTAGGAGGTCCCCAGGAAAGGCTCAGATCATTCTTCAGAATAAGAGTTGGGGGGATGTGACCAGAGGTTATATCATGGCTGAGGGTGCCCCCCCCCCCGGTGGTTCCTGGCTGATGCTGCCAACAGAGCAAGAACAGCCAGCCTGGACCCCCAGATGTCACCCCACCACCTGTATGGATTCTTCTCTTTTATTTATTTATTTATTTATTTGATTTGATTTGTATACCGCCCTACTCCCGAAGGACTCAGGGCGGTGAACAGCCAACAATAAAATACATAAATACACAAAATTTAAAAACCCGATAAAATCAAATTAAACTTTTTGGCCCAGACAAATTAAAATACCCCAATAATTTAAAAACAGATTAAAATTTACATATTTTAAAAAGGGAAGAGATCAGGCCAAGCCCGCTTGATGGAATAAAAAGGTCTTCACAGCACGGCGGAAGGAGCGCAGATCCGGGATCCTCCGTATCTCCGGGGGGAGCTCATTCCAGATGGTAGGTGCCCCCACAGAGAAGGCTCTCCCCCTAGGGGCCGCCAGTCGACACTGTTTGGCTGACGGCACCCGGAGGAGTCCCTCTCTATGAGAGCGTACTGGCCGGTGGGAGGCTATTGGTGGTAGTAGGCGGTCCCGTAAATAACCAGGCCCTAAGCCATGGAGCGCTTTAAAGGTGGTAACCAGAACCTTGAAGCGCACCCGGAAGACCACCGGGAGCCAGTGCAGCTCGCGCAGGAGAGGTGTTACATGGGAGCGCCATGTCGCTCCCATAACCACCCGCGCGGCCGCACTCTGCGCCAGTTGGAGCCTCCGGGTGCTCCTCAAGGGGAGCCCCATGTAGAGAGCATTACAATAGTCCAGGCGGGAGGTGACGAGGGCATGAGTGACCGTGCGTAACAAGTCCCGATCCAGAAGGGACGCAACTGGCGAATCAGGCGGACCTGATAAAAAATCCTCCCGGTCACGGCCGTCAAGTGCTCTTCTAAAGACAGCCGTGAATCCAGGAGGACGCCCAAGTTGCGAGCCCTCTCCGTGGAGGCCAATGATTCGCCCCCAATAGTCAGTGATGGCGTCAACTGGCTATATCGGGACGTCGGAAACCACAGCCACTCGGTCTTGGATGGGTTGAGCCTGAGCCTGTTCCTCCCCATCCAGATCCGTACGGCCTCCAGGCACCAGGACATCACTTCAAGGGCATCGTTGGGGTGATCCGGGGTGGAGATGTACAGCTGGGTGTCATCAGCGTATTGATGGTACTCCACCCCGAAACCACGGATGATCTCGCCCAGCGGCTTCACATAAATGTTGAACAGGAGAGGTGAGAGGACCGACCCTTGCGGCACCCCACATATGAGGGGCCTCGGGGTCGACCTCTGTCCCCCTGTCAACACGGACTGCGACCGGTCAGAGAGAAAGGAGGAGAACCACCGCAACACAGTGCCTCCCACCCCTAACTCTTCCAACCGGTGCAGCATGATACCATGGTCGATGGTATCAAAAGCCGCTGAGAGATCTAACAGGACCAGGACAGAGGAGCAACCCCTGTCCCGAGCCCTCCAGAGATCATCAACCAACGCGACCAATGCCGTTTCCGTGCTGTACCCGGGCCTGAAGCCCGACTGGAACGGATCCAGATACGTCGTTTCATCCAGGTGCTGGGGAAGCTGTTGCGCAACCACACTCTCAACAACCTTTGCCACAAAACGAAGGTTGGAGACCGGACGATAATTTACCAACATTGCCAGGTCCAGGGAGGCTTCTTGAGGAGAGGCCTCACCACCGCCTCTTTCAAGGCGGCAGGAAAGACACCCTCACCCAGCGAAGCATTTATAATCCCCTGGAGCCAGCCTCGTGTCACCTCCCGAGAAGCCAGCACTAACCAGGAGGGACACGGGTCCAATAAACAAGTGGTCGCGTTCAATCTACCCAGAATCCTGTCCATGTCCTCAGGGGTCACAGGATCAAACTCATCCCAGATAACATTCTCAAGACCTGCCCCAGTCCCTCCCCCTGAGACTATCCAGTCGGAGTCCAGATCTTCCCGAATCTGAGCGATTTTGTCATACAGATATTGGACAAAATCCTCGGCTCTACCCTCCAAGGGGTCCTCCCCGCTTCCTGGTGGAGCAGGGAGCGGGTCACCCTAAACAGGGCGGCCGGGCAATTATCTGATGACGCAATAAGAGCAGCAAAATGGGTACATTTCGCTGCTTTTATCGCCACTAGGTAATTCCTAATATGAGCTCTTACCAGTGTCCGGTCAGATTCAGAAAGACTGGCCCTCCAACTACTCTCTAGGCGTCTTTTCCGGCGCTTCAACTCCCTCAGCTCCTCAGTGAACCAAGGAGCTAAATGAGATCGGCGCCGGGTCAGAGGCCGCAAAGGCACGACCCGATCCAGAGCTCCAGCGGCCGCCCTATCCCAGGCGGCCACTAGGTCTCCAGTCGAGGCGTGTGCCAGAGCCTCAGGGCCCCCCCCCCCGGCCAAAGTATCCCGCTGGCAGAAGGTTTCGCCCAGAAGCCTCTCCGGACTACAACCGCCCTGCGCCCATCCAAACCAGCACCCCAAAACCCCTTGTGGGGCCCTCGTCCCTCTGCACGTTGCTCTGTGTGGGCTACCAGGAAGCCCCCACCCCCAATGCAGGCTTTGCACCCAGCTGGCCAGGATGGGCCTAAGGGTAGGGATGCCAGGGAAGTCTTCAAGGCTGGCCAGGCCAGCTGAGCCCAGATGGCGAGGGCCACCTCTGGAAGAGGGGAAGCTGCCGCCCCAGGACAGGAAGCCTCACCTTGAGGGTCTGGTGGAAGTTCAACAGGGAAAGCTCTCTGGGAAGACCTGGACATCCTGAAGGGGAGGATTTCCCCCTGCCACGCAGGCTCCTGCACAGCCCCACATCAACGCTCACGGGGCTGCCCGAAAGATCTGGGGAGGGAGAGGAAAACCAACAGGGCATTGTCTGGGTCAGGATCTCCTCCAGCCCCCCCCCCAAAAGGCTCTTGCTTCCATAGCACCCTGAGACCCCCAACCTTTCAGTGAGCCAGGATTTCAGGTGCCCCTCCTCCTAAGCCAGGCTTTAACCAGAGTTTTGTGCGAGCGAGGAGCAAACTTGCTGTGTTGGTCAGATTCGTCCCCTTTGTGGATTCAGATAAATTCTCAAAAAGTCACCACCTATCCTGCTGGCTGCAGCACCATTTGCAAGAAGAGAGAAAGGGAACAAGCCACGTTCCCTTCATCCAACATCTGGAAAAGCGGAAGGTGCTTTTCCCAAAAACAACTGGACTTTCTTGGGGTTTTTTTGTCCTTGAAAACATTGCACTTCTCACCCAAGAAGCTTCTTCACTTCTGAAACGTTTTCAAGAAACCCAAGAAAGTCCAGTTGCCTTTTGGAAAAGCACCTTTGGGACAACCGTGACCTGGGTGAATAACAGAAGAGTTGGAAGGAACCTCAGAGGTCATCTAGTCCACCACCACCCCCTGCCCAAGCAGGAGACCCTCCACCATTTCTGACTGATGGCAGCCCAGTCTCTTCTTGAAAGCTTCCAGTGATGAAGCTCCCACAACTTCCGAAGGCAACTTCTCTTCCATCGGTTGATTGCTCTCAAAGTCAGAAAATTCCTCCTTATTTCCAGGTTGAATCTCTCCTTGAACCGTTTCCATCCATGATTCCTTGTCTGGCCTTCAGGTGCTTTGGAAAATAGCTTGACCCCCTTCCTCCTCTCTGTGGCAGCCCCTCAAATATTGGAAGACTTCTATCCTGTCTCCCCTGGTCCTTCTCTTCACTAGACTAGACATGCCCAGTTCCTGCAACCGTTCATCATATGTTTTAGCCTCCAGTCCCCTCATCATCCTGGTTGCTCTTCTCTGCACTCTTTCTAGAGTCTCCACATCTTTTTTTGTAGTCTGGTGACCAAAACTGGATGCAGGACTCTAGGTGTGGTCTTACTAAGGCTTTGTAGTGTGGAATAAAGTGGTACATGACCATGAGATTCAGTCTCCTCCTGCTATCTTATCCATTTCTCCACAGTGTTATTATTCCAATTTTCATCCCTCTTTTTCCCCAAAAATTACTTGCCTAGTTTTGTTGCTTTTATCTTTGCACACACACACCCCTGCAATTAGTCTTGCCTAATTCCAAAGTCGAAAATGATCACAATTGATTTGGAATTTTATCCCTTGCAAAATTCAGCCTTTATGTAGCTCCAACAATAAATCTGTATATAATAAAATGTCTGTCAAAGAGGCTGCCTCTTTTTCCGCATTCCCAGACCCCTAGCTGGGTCTCCCATTTTGCATCCCATTTAATGGAATAACAGATCGATATTTCCCTTTTCCCAAACAGCCTCCTGCTGGATGGCTATTCAGAATTTGACTCTCAATGCAATTTGTAGCCTGCAAGCACAGACAGCAGAGAACTGCTAGCGCTAATCACTATTACTGTCTCATCACATTATCACATCCATTATCCATTGCTAATTGCACCAATTATCACACCATTACTGGCCCCACATAATGGAGGTGGGCTGATTAGCGCCCTGAAGCCCCTCCCCCGCCTTTTAATTAACCTTTAATGTCCAACTTTAACTATCCTGGCCTCTTATGTTTTACATTTTTATATCCAGTTTTTATGTTTTTACACGTTTTATTTGGACGCCACCCAAATCAAGACTCCCATTGTGTGAAAGAGACCAGACAGTTTCTGAATGATAGAAGGTTTCCTGCTTGAACAGGGGGCTGGACTAGAAGACCTCCAGGGTCCCTTCCAAGCCTAGGATTCTATATTCTAAATGTGATCAATCAATCAATCATCATTCCGCACTGAAATGCCAAAGGAAGAAGATAAAACACCGCCCCACTTTGCTACTTAATCAGTTTTTTAAATTGCAGGAGGTGATAGATAGATAGATAGATAGATAGATAGATAGATAGATAGATAGATAGACAGACAGACAGACAGACAGACAGACAGACAGACATCTCCCTGACACGCATAGGGGAAAGAGAAAGAGCTACATTAATACTTTCCATATGATTGTTGTCCCAATGGGGTACAGTAGAGCAATGCCAAAACCGGGCAGAACCCAGGAATAAAAAAAAGAGATTTTTGCAGGAGGAAGGGCAAAGGCTGGGCTGAGTGAGTGGAAAGGTGCCAGCCAGGAAGGAAGGACCAGTGTGTGTGTGTGTGTGTGTGTGTGTGTGTGTGTGTGTCTTCCATTAGCAACTGGGGGGAGGGGGAGACAGGCCATTATCAGCAAAGAGGCCAATATACAAAATCATGGCTGGGGGGCTGGGGGGTGGGGAGGAGGAGGAAGGGGGCAGAGGCGGGCAGGAAGGATGCCAACAATACAACCCTTGGTGGTCCTTGGCATTCAAAGCTGCAGGAATAATAGCCCTACTAATTGGTTTGCTGTCTCTCACCCCCCCCCCCCCAAAAAGGGGGGGACATTTATCTTTGGAGGCAAAGATTCCCTTCCCCCCCCTCACCCCAGCCCCTCTGCAGAGATCTCGGCCCCCTTCAGATCTTGGCCCCCTCTCTTCCCCACCCCCCCCATTGCCGGTAACCATAAGACCACCTGGGGTCCTTCCTTGCGATGATGCGTTTTCTGCACTGTCCGCCTAAAGGCTAAACAGTGCAGAGCCCATGCTTTAGGGTAGCAAGAGGGAGGTCTGGAGGTCATCTAGCCCACCCCTCCAGCATCCCCAACAAGTGGCCATCCTGGCTCCATTAGGAGGACCCCCTTCCCCTTTCAGGCACTGCCTCCAGAAGACCTCCTGGCCCAGCTTCAGAGGGTCATCCCAAGCACCCTCCGATGTCCTTTGCAAGGATGACCTGGGTCCCTGGAGTCCTTGGGGTCGTGTGGCTGGCCTGGTGGGAGATGAATGGCGGAGCTGGGCATCCTCCAGGCTGCCCTTCTGGCCCGGCTCTCTTCTCTCGGCACTAAAACTCCTGTTTCTACCCCAAATCACAGCCGGGACCTTCTTCTCACTTTTTCACTACTCCCCAATCAAGTGGTTGGCTGGTTTGTGTTCCTGACGCCAAGGACAAGGTGAGGTTATCCTGTTGTGGAGTTTGAACGTTGTAAGCTGCTCATATACCTGGGCCTGGTGGCTCAGCAGACTGATAGCACTGTGATTAACACCAGTTGCCTGCAATTACTGTAAGTTCGAATCTCACCAGGCTCAAGGTTGACTCAGACTTCCATCCTTTCTAAGGCAGGTGAAATGAGGACCCAGATTGTGGGGGCAATAAGCTGACTTTGTATAAAAATATACAAAAGTATGAAGGCTATTGCTTAACGCATTGTAAGCCGCCCTGAATTGAGCCTTTGAACTCTGGTGCTGGAGAAGACTCCTGCGAGTCCCTTGGACTGCAAGGCCATCCAACCGGTCAGTCCTAGAGGAGATCAACCTTGACTGACTGCTCTTGAGAAGGCCAGATCCTGAAGAGGAAACTCAAATCCTTTGGCCACCTAATGAGAAGGAAGGAAGGAGAAGAGCCTCATGCTGGGAACGATGGAGGGCAAAAGAAGAAGAAGGTGACGGCAGAGAAGGAGGTGGCTGGATGGAGGCACTGAAGCAGTCAGCGGGAGCTTCAATGGGGATGGTAGAGGACAGGAAGGCCTGGAGGAACGTGGTCCATGGGGTCGCGATGGGTCGGACACGACTTCGTAACTAACAACAACAAGCTGCCCAGAGTCACCTGTGTGTGAGTTGGGCGGCCCCATAAATTGGTATAATGAATGAATGAATGGCTAATTTATTTATTGCTTCGATTTATATGCCGCCTTTTCTCCGGAGACTCAGGGCGGCTTACAATGCGTTAAGCAACAGCCTTCATACTTTTGTATATACCTGCTTAGTAGGGCTTTTGACCCCCCCCCCCAGAGGTGTTCTTTTTTATACAAAGTCAGCTTATTGCCCCCACAATCTGGGTTTTACCTACTTCAGAAGGATGGAAGGCTGAGTCAACCTTGAGCCTGGTGAGATTTGAACTCGCAGTAATTGCAGGCAGCTGGTGCTACTTAACAGTACTTTAGTCTGCTGCGCCACGAAGGCTCTTTATAATAATCACACACACCGGCTTTGAGACCAGGGAGTTGCAGCCTGGGGTGTTCAGAGGGCTTCCTCTCGGAGACCCTTGGAGGGCGATGGGGACTCAGCTGCCATGATGGGGCCAAAGGGCAGCCAAGGGGACCCTCTTGAGGTCTGAGGATCTGCTCACGCCTGGACCCTCTGCCCACCCAGCCCCACGGAGACAGCCCCACCAAGACTTTACGTCTGGCGAGGAAGGAAAAAAATTGGAATTGAGTATGGCTAGCCTAAGAGACGTGGCGGCTCAGTGGCTAAGACGCTGAGCTTGTCCATCGAAAGGTCGGCAGTTCAGCGGTTCGAATCCCTACTGCCACATAACGGGGTGAGCTCCCGTTCCTTGTCCCAGCTTCTGCCAACCTAGCAGTTCGAAAGCACGTAAAAAATGCAAGTAGAAAAATAGGGACCCAACAGGATTACCTGTCTATAATATATAAGTATGCTAATATATATACATTATATTTGTTTGTTAGTCTTGTTTATAAGTAGTTTTGAATGTATTTTTAGAGTTAAGAACTTTTTGTATAATTTTTATCTTTTTATATTGAATAAAGTTTGTAAAAAAAAAGAAAGAAAGAAAAATAGGGACCCCCTTTGGTGGGAAGGTAAGAGCGTTCCGTGCGCCTTTGGCATTGAGTCATGCCGGCCACATGACCACGGAGACGTCTTCGGACAGCGCTGGCTCTTAGGCTTTGAAACGGAGTTGAGCACTGCCCCCTAGAGTCGGGAATGATTAGCACATATGTGCGAGGGGAACCTTTACCTTTAATGGCTAGTCTAAAGAAAAGGAGGACTAGGGGGGGTGACACGATAGCAGTCTTCCAGTATTTGAGGGGCTGCCACAAAGAAGAGGGGGTCAACCTATTATCTAAAGTACCTGAAGGCAGGGCAAGAAGCAACGGATGGAAACTAATGAAGCACTTTAGAATTAAGGAGAAACTTCCTGACAGTGAGAACAATTAACCAGTGGAACAACTTGCCACCAGAAGTTGTGGATGCTCCATCACTGGAGGTTTTTAAGAAGAGACTGGACAACCATCTGCCTAGAATGGTATATGGTCTCCTGTTTGAGCAGCTGGTTGGGCTAGAAGACCTCTAAGGCCCCTTCTATTCTGATTGAAATCTTGGAGGTTTTCTGGGGTCTCCCATGCTCCGCCCCCCCCGCCCCCCAAAAAGAGACAAGGATTCTCAAGATGCTCGGAGTCGCCTTGAACTCTGAGATGGGCAGCAAATCAATTTGATAAATGAAATAAAATATTTTTTTTTCCTTGCCTCCAGCAAGGCTCCTGCAAAAAAGATGGGGGCTCTGGAGGAAGGAAAGTGGAGGCAGGGAGGATTTGAGGTGATATCAAAGGTCATCCTTTCCAAAATATTCCAGGGAGATTGGCAAGATTTGTCCAGTTGCAGCTGACCAAAGGGTCAAATGGCGGATGAAGTAAACAACACCCCCCCCCCCTTTCTCTACCTTCATCTGGAGTTATTTCTCTTTCCGTCTTTCTCAATTGGATGAAGAAAATAAAGGCAGGAAAACTTGTGTATTGTGGGAGGCTTCATACAGAGCCTCCTCCCCAGATGTTGACTGACTCCGGTGTTTGCAAATTTTGGAAGGTCCGCTAAGGCAGTGCCAACACCCCCACCCCCCAAAAAAACCCCAGTTCTCTCCTGCCTTCCTTGATTCTTGAATTGGCCATTCAGTGAGTTTGGGGGAGAAAGGGTTTGCACTTCAATCAGAATAGAGCTGGATGGGACCCTGGAGGTCTTCTAGTCTAACCCCCTGCTCAGGAAGGAGAGGCTATACCATTTCAGACAGATGGCTGTCCAGTCTCTTCTTCGGTCATCTTTGATCTTTTGATCTTCTTAAATTCTTTGATCTTTCCCCGCCCAACCCTCACAGGAGAGAGGGAAGGGCCTTGCAAAGGAAACTCCCCAGAGCAAAACTGAAGATGAATTCAGTTTTATCAGGAGGGGCTTCATCCCAACTCACTCACCGTGTCCGAGGAAGACCAGGCGGCTTTGTCTCTTGCAACAACCTCGCTCGGCTGGCAGGTTTCGGCCGGCCACTCCGGCACCTGGGGGCCCAAATGGCAGATTTATAGCCTGCAGGATGGAGGAGTTCAGAAGCTCCAGGAAGAATTTCTCAGAACAGAACAATCGAGTTGGAAGGAACCTTGGAGGTCATGTAGTCCAACCCCCTGCTCAAGGCAGGAGCCTTACACCGTCCTGGTCAACTGGCTGGCTGGTCTAGTTTTGAAAATCTCCAGCGATGGAGCCCCCACAACTCCACGACGCAAGCTCTTCCACTGATTGGCTGCTCAGTCACAACAGCATACGTAAAATATCATAAAAGAACAGAGTTGGAAGGGACCTTAGAGGTCTTCTAGTCCAACCTCCCCTCCTCAAGCGGGAAACCCTATACCGTTTCAGACAAATGGTTGTCCAGGCCCTCCTTAAAAGCCTCCAGTGCTGGAGGCACCCACAACTTCTGAAGTTTGGGGGTGTCCTGGACAGGCTGGCCCCCCAAAACCACTTTTTCATCCAGCAAAAATTCTATTTTTCCTCCAGGGGCCTTTCACCTCGTCCTGCTGGGCTTTTGATCCTGGCCAGATGGAGAAGGCTGGGTCCCTGGGCCCGAGGGGGCACCCCCGAGTCTTGCCCCTGATGTTGAAGTGCAGAGCCCAGTTCTTGCTAGCTGTTTGCTTGTTTGTTTTATTGGTTGATTGGCTGCCCGTAAGGGAACCCAACTCTGGGAGGCTTACAATCACTTGGCCATTTTTTCTGGATCCAATAAAGAAGCAGGATTTTCCTAGTTGAAAGACATTACAGAAGATACTATATGGAATACAAATTTAAAGTCACTTGAGGGTTTTATTTATATATGGAAATATCTCTTGGTGATATGGGCAGAAGAATAAAGATATTAAATTAAATATATTATGTATGGTAAACCTGTAGGAAAGTGGGTGAAACAAAATTGATATGGTACAAGGTAACGTTACTGATTGCTCAGTTTAGGAAAAGGGATGTTATGTTTAGATATTAATATACTTAAAAGATTTGAATTAAGAGACACATGTATGGGGGTGGAGGAAATGGGTAGATTATGAGTAGAATAAATGCCAAATTAATCTATTATATAGTTTTATAGCCGAATGCTGTTTTGAAATGTATAGTATACCGGGGACATAATAATAATGTTAGAAAGAAATGTTTAGCACATAGGGGGTGGTGTAAAAGGGTGGTAAAGTATTATATATTGTGATATTAATTTGGATTTCATCTTGCAGAAGCCATGGGGGGAGGGGAGGGGGAGGGGGGTTAGGGAGTGGGGGGGGAAAAGGGGGAAAAATTTGTATTTGAAAAACTTTTTCAATAATAATAATAAAAAAAAGCAGGATTTTCCCCTAATACACTGCAGTTTCATTTAGCGACCATTTACAGTTACAATGGCACCAAACAAAGTGACTTAGGACCATTTTTCACACTTACGACCGTTGCAGCATCCCCACGGTCACGTGATCAAAATTCAGGCGCTTGGCAATTGACTCATACTTATGACAGTTGCCGTGCCCTGCTGGTCACGTGATCCACGCCTGCGACCTTCTGGCCAGCGAAGTCAAGGGGGGGGGAAGCTTAACAACTGTGTTAATAACTTAACAACTGGCAGTGATTCACTTAACGACGGTGGCAAGAGAGGTCGTAAAACGGGGCAAAACCCATTTTAACCCATGTTTCACTTAGCGACAGAAACGCTGGGCTCAATTTTGGTCGTAAGTGGAAGACTCCCTGTACACAACCAAACTAAAAACACCTGGCAGAGTGAAGCTGTGCGAATTCTGAATCTATCCCAAGAGCCAAGATCGCAGCTGAAGAAAAGTTTTATTTATTTATTTTTATTTGTTTAAATTTCTATACCGCCCTTCTCCAAATAGGACTCAGGGCGGTGCACAGCCTAAGTAAAAACAAAGCATACAAAATTTAAAAAACAGTATTAAAATAATTAAATATTCTGGCCGTAAATTAAAACAACCCAATTTAAAATCAATTTAAAATTTAGCTCAAGCCAGCCCAGTAAAAAAGAGCTGCATGTTTGGGGGGAAAAGAGAGAGAGTTCTGGCCAGAATTTAAATTGTTTGCCCCTCCCTGTGTGTTTTCATTCTTGCAGTCACCAGGGTCCTTGGTGCGAGTGTCTCTGGCCCTTGAAAGTCACCCGGCAGGTCCTGAATTGGCCCTCATGTAATTTGTTCTTTTAAAAAAAAAAAAAAATCTGAAAACTTTTAAAAGCAATCAGTCATAGAATAGACAATTGATGAGGCTAAATTCTGTATTTCCCTCTGTTGCAAAAGGGAGCAACAGACTTTTTCTGAAGCAGAACTGCCGTCGAAGGTCGTTTCAAAGCCTTTCTGGAAGTCCCTTCTCTGCTTGCCTTCCTTAGGCTGAAAGCCACGGGAGGGACTGATTTCCAAGCCAGTCCTGGCCGAGAGATGCCTTAAAGCCAGGAAGAAGAAGGCTGGGCAGCCCAGGTGAAGCGGCAGATCTAATCCCCTGCTGGGATCAGGAAGGTCCTAAACTGCTCCCTCCTGTAATCTGGAGATTAAGGGATGGAGAAATTTATTTATTTGGGTGCTTTGCTCCAAGAGGTAGTTTGTTAAAAAAAATAAATAGTGTGAGCTCAAGCAGGAGACCCTTACAGAATAACAGAGCCGAATGGGGCCTTAGAGACCATCTATTCTAACCCCCTGCTCAAGGAGACCCTTACAGAATGCCACAATTGGAAGGGACCTTGGAGGTCTTCTAGTCTAGCCCTCTGCTGAACATGGAGGTTCCATTCAGCTCTCCCAATTATCCATGGGGAGGGGGAGAGAAGGGGGCCTTCAATGGAATGAAAAAAGCAAAAAGGTTGAAGAAAAAGCTGGGAAGGCTCCCCCCCCCCCCACAGCCTGGTGCTGACTCAAGCATCTCTGGGATACGAGCATCTTCCTTCTTTGTCCTCACTTGTTTTTGGATACAGTGCTCCTGAACAAGGAAGCTCTGTTCAGCTCTTGGCAATAGCCATCAGGCAACCTCACCGAACCCTCCCCTGTCCTCTGCCCCAGAGCATGAGCTGAGGGAGGGGGAGGTGGGGCTGGGGGCATCGTCCTGGGAGCCTGCCTGGCCGGCTGAGGCCCTGAGGCAGGAGGACTCTTTGCTCAGAGCACCTTTTCCCACTCAGAAATTTTACTCAACACAGAACTAAGGAGAAATTTCCTGACAGGGAGAACAGCTTCTGCCCAGAAGTTGTGGAAGCTTCATCACTGGAAGCTTTTAAGAAGAGATTGGACAACCATTGGCCCAAAATGGCATTGGGTCTCCTGCCTGAGCAGGGGGTTGGACTAGAAGACCTCCGAGGTCCCTTCCAGCTCTGTTCTTCTCTTAAATTCTCCCTCCGAGTAAACATTGACCAGGAAAAGGTGCGGCCGCACTCCTAATTTTTTGCAACCGTGGACTCACCTGGCTCTCTTCCTCGCTCATACCTGCTCCCCTCCAGCTGCATCTCCCATCATCCCCAGCCATCTGAGTGTGCTGGCTGAGGAGCATGGGCAAGGCAGTCGGAGCCAACGTTGCTCAGAGGGCCACCTGCAATCTTCCTGCAAGGAAAGCCCCCCCCCTTCTGCAGTGGCCCTTCGGGTGCCCAGCCCCCTCCATATTTCCCAAATGGGGTTGGGGGAGCCAGTCAGGGTCAGGACTTACCCAGGAGGCCGGAGAGACAGGTCAGCCAGGCCAGGAGCTGCATGGTTCCAGCAAGGAAGGTTCCCGGCTTGTGTCTGGGGGTCACTCCTGGGGATTTATACTGAGGACCAGTTGAGGAAGGGGGGGGTCATTCAGCTCTGGAGCCAGCTCAGGACACCCCCTGGCAGGACAGGGGGACGGCTGGACAGGGGGGCACCGGCCCCACTTCAAAGCCTGTCCAGGTGAGAAAGGGGTCTGCATCCCCCCAGGGGGTGGCCGGACTGGCCCCACCTGGAGCCCCCCCTCCCCCCCCGTCTGCCTTTCAAGTCCCAAAGAAGAAAGACAGGCTTGGGGGGGGGGGGGGGGGCTGGTGTGTCCTTTTTTTCCAAAAGATAAGAAAGAAAAAAGGGACTTCAATCACCCCAAGCAGCCTATGCAAATGTGCCAAGAAAGGGTCTCCCCCCCCTTCCAAGAGGGGAGAGCAGCCCCCTCTCCAGTTCTGCAAGGGGAGCTCTCCCCCCCCCACTTGCCCCACCCAAAGGAAACGCCCCCCTCCCGGCCTTTCAGTAAAACTCAGATCAAGCTTTTTAAAATGCACTATTTTATTTTTTGTTATTTTATTTTTTATTTTATTTTTCTAATTTTATTTTACTTTTTTATTTTTATTATTTTAGGATTGCTCCAAGTTTTGTGCTCAGGGGGATTTCTCAAGGACGAGGGGGGCTCCCCAAAAGATGCTGCCGGGCGAATAAACCGGGTTGGGGGAGGGGAGCGGCTGTGGTTTTCAGGCTGCCCGTGCCCTCTGCAGAGGCTGCACTAAAGCGATGGGCACAAGATGGGCACTTCGGAGGCCTTGCCCACTGCCCACATTGATGCAAGCATGCTGGGCATACAAATACTAAATAGGCACCAAGTCGGGAACTTTCCAAACACGGTGTCCATCCGTCCATCCGTCCTGGGGCTGCTGAGAAGCAGCCTTCTCCTTAATTTGGCCCAGCAGGAATGCCAATGGAGTGGAATTTAACAAGGGGGCTCTTTGGTCAGCCAACCTTCCTGAGCTTCTGCCTTTTGAATCAAATTTGGGAGTCGGAAAAGAAACTCTGGATTTTATGCTATCCTAAACGAAGTGTTTTTTCAACCTGGGCCCCTTTTCAGAAGGCGGGGAGGGGCTTCATCCCCCAAGGCTGGCTGGAGAATTCTGGGAGTTGAAGTCCAGCCCTCTTAAAAGGTTGAACCACACTGCCCTAGGAGTACAAGGGGCTCTTTCTGCCGTGTGTGTGTGTGTGTGTGTGTGCCAGACCCCCACAGATGCCCCACTCCACACCCTCTCCAAAGGACACCATACCTACCTTTCACCAGCACTCAAATCAGAGCAGCAGAATCAGGAGGGTGGGGAGCACCCACCCACCCCCCATTTCCTTTGTGGATTTTCTCATGAGGGACTTGAGGGTGGTCCCAGCAACACTTGCCAAGACACCCCTGGAGACCCACCTCACTATTCCACTCCCAGGGTTGAGAAGTTTTCTCCAACCTTCTTTCTGTCTTTCTCTTTCTTTCTTTCTTTCTTTTTTCTTTCTTTTTCTTCCTTCCTTCCTTCTTCCTTCTTTCTTTTTTTCTTCCTTCTTTCTTTCTTTTTCTCTTTCTTCCCTCCCTTTTCCTTCCTCCCTTCACTCCCTCCCTTCCTCTGTCTTCTTTCTCTTTCTCTCTTTCCTTTCTTTCCTTCATATCATTATGCCACCTTTAGTATTTCTACAAATAACCCAACCTATCAAACACAGCTTCCTCCTCCTATTTCCCCACAACAATCCTGTGAGGTGAGCTGGGCGGACAGAGTAACTGGCCCAAAGGCACCCAGATGAGGTTAACGTTTCAAGGATAAAGTGGGACTTGAACTCATGACCTCTTGCTTTCTTGCCTGGTGCCCTACCACTAGACCACACTGGCTCTCTGCCACCCTCCATCAGGAGAAAGTTGTCCCCTCGGGCTCTTTATTCCTCTCCTCCCTTACAGGCCCCCTTCTGCCCCAGAGGAAGAGGGTTTCAAAGCGAAAGGACAGCCCTCTCCCCACATATTCTCTTTTATTTGGTGAAAATGAGGCCCTTTCCCTGCGGGCAGAACCAGGGGAGATGGCACCGCTTTCCAAGGAATGCCAAGGCTTGGAGGGTGGCAGTACCAACATGCCCATCTTCCTCACCACCCCAATCAATTTTCCTGCTGGCATGGAGAGACCCAGCAAATGCAGAGCAAAGCTGCCCACTGGCATCCAAAGAGGAAGCGGGTGGAAGAAGAAGAAAGCGGCAGCTGAGCTGCCTGACCCAAAAAAACCTCGCTTCCCCCGCCCCCTAGATCTGGGCACCCGGGGTGGGGTGGGGGGGCAGGCCTCGCCCCTGGTGAATTCCCACAGATAGGCTTCGGAGCCATGTAAAATCCAGACTGCAAAATGGATATGGAAAAAATACATGTATTAAGAGAAAATAACACCACATATGTACAAATCGCACAACTGGCTCTATACAAAGGGATTTTTCGGAGGCTCTTCCTTGACAGGCGAAGAGGGAGGCAGCACCTCGGTCTTTCCTTCTGGGCACGCGTCTTCCGAACGGGTCAGTCCAGCGTTCCTGGATACCCACCGCCCCCCCAAAAAACACATTTTTGAGAATTCAATTTTTCTCCTTGGCAAAATATTTTATCTCTGTGCTTCCTGGACTAAATTATACGGTATTTCTGTTCTGTTATTTAGAATAGAATAGAGAATAGAGCTGGAAGGGACCTTGGAGGTCTTCTAGTCCAGCCTATACCATTTCAGACAAATGGCTGACCAGCCTCTTCTTAAAAACCTCCAGTGATGGAGCGTCCATGACTTCTGGTGGCAAGCTGTTCCATCGGTTAATTGTCCTCACTGTTAGGAAATTCCTCCTTAATTCCAGGTTGCTTCTCTCTCTGATTAATTTCCAATCATTGTTTCTTGTCCTGCCTTCTGGTGCTTTGGAATCCTGCTATGGTGTTGCCCCTAATTCTTCTTTTCCTTATCTTGCAATTTAATTTTGTCTAATATTTTTAAATTGTCTTGCAATTTAATTAGAATAGCTTGCACCACTTAAATTCTTGAGGGCTTTGTTCAGGTTTTGGCCCTTAGGGCCCAGAAATAGCACAAAACAGTGGCAAGGAGGAGAAATATGCAGCTAGGCCCAGCTAAGGGTTGCTCAAAATTGGCCACTTTTTGAGACGGGTGGACTTCGATTCCCAGAATTCCCCAACCAGAAGGAATTCTGGGAGTTGAAGTCGACCCATCAAAAAATGCTGTCTGGAGAACGCTGGGAGTTTGAAATCCACCCACTTTTAAAAGTTACTAAATGTGAGAAACTCTTGTCTAGTCCATCAGCCTATCTTCCCCGTGGCCCACCAACCACCCAAGGAAGCCCACCGGTCTCCCAACAGGCAGCCTTTGGGGGAAGCCCCACAACCATCAAGGCTCTTAGCCTTAGTAAGACCACACACCTAGAATAGTGCATCCAGTTTTGATCACCACACTATAAAAAAAGATGCTGAGACTCTAGAAAAGCTGTAGAGAAGAGCAATCAGGATGATGAGGGGACTGGAGGCTAAAACTTATGAAGAACAGTTGCAGGAACTGGGCATGGCTAGTCTAGCGAAGAGAAGGACCAGGGGAGACATGAGAGCAAGTCTTCCAATATTTGAGGGGCTTCCCCAGAGAGGAAGAAGGGGGTCAAGCTATTTTCCAAGACACCCGAAGGCCAGACAAGGAATAATGGAAGGAAACTGATCAAGGAGAGATTCAACCTGGAAATAAGGAGACATTTTCTGACAATGAGAGCAATCAACTGATGGAACAGAAGTTGCCTTCGGAAGTTGTGGGAGCTTCATCCCTGGAAGCTTTGAAGAAGAGACCGGACTGCCATCTGTCAGAAATGGTGTAGGGCCTCCTGCTTGTGCGGGGGGTTGGACTGGATGACCTCCAAGGTCCCTTCTAACTCTGTTAATCTGTTAAATAAATGAGTCCTTAAAATATTTTATTTTATGTCAGGCAGATACCCAAACAGACCCCTTACCTTCCAGAAAGGCAAACTCATCCAGGGCTTCAATGGCATTGTCTGCAGAAGGAAAAATCGACACCCGTTTGTTTGTTTGTTTTTTTAATAAAGATTTGTTGTTGGTGAGCATGCTGTTGAATCGTTTTGACTCCAGGAAATTTAGAACAGAATAACAAATATAATAGAAAACTCTATGGGGGGAAAATATCACAAATAAAAATTTGTGGTAAGGAAAAAAAAATTAAACACAGCTCAAGGCCCTCGTCCCACCAGAGCCCACGCAACTGAAAAAACCCAAAGACTAACATTTGAAAACTGGACTCCGTCAGCACCTTGTACGACCCACGCATCTTATTAAAAGCCACAAGCTTTTTGTGAGCAGTAATGGGCGGGTTGGAAACATTACCACCAGGTGATCGTTTTTGCCATGGCTCTGGCCCACTCGGGTGAGACCTGGGCCACCCGCAGACTGGACAGAGGACCAATGCACAAGCGAAGCCCACTGGACGGGCCCTGGAGAACTGTGAAAGGCTGGGAAGGGGGGGGTGCCACCTGCTCCAGGATGGCAGTTTCCCCCTCCACCCCCTCCCCAAATGGTAGGCGGGCTCAGCTGGAGCTGCTGCAGCCAAGCTGCACAGACCACGCCCTGCGTCAGTGGTAGAAGGGGGGGAGGAGGGGGGGGACTGTGGGGTCCTTGGTACTTCATTGTTTTCTTGCAGACGTTTCATGATCCAGCTGGGTAGCATCATCAGTGCTAGAAGGGGGTGGGGTTTGTAGAAGGGAGGATGGGGGGGGAATTTTTGGTGCTCTCTGAGCTTGGTGGTTTTCTTGCAGACGTTTCATGACCCAACCTGGCAACATCGTCAGTGCTAGAAGGGGGTGGGGGTGGGGGGGTCTGCGGAAAGGAGGAGGGGGAGGGCAAGGCTGACCCACCCAGGTCCTTCCTCTGCAGGGTCTTCCTCTTCCCGTGCTGGGTGTGGATGAAGGCGTCCTTGGAGATGGTTTCCACAAACAACTCCTGGGGAGGCAGAAGGGGGGGGGGGGGGGGGGGAGGCGGGGCGGCCAGGGGCCCCGGGGGGGTTCCACAGGCGGGGGGGGGGGGGGGGGGCCCCGGGGGGGGGGGGGGAGGATGCTAGACCCCCACCACAGGGGTCTCCCTCCCTGCAAGGGACCGCCCACCTCTTGGCCCTGCTTTGCCCAGCAGACCTGGCCCCCACCATGGCTAGCACAGCCCCCTCCCTGCAAGGTAGGACAGGCAAAGAGGGCGCCACCGGCCGAGAATCCTAACTGGCAGCGGCAGAGCATCTCCGCAGAGGTCAACCATGGGCTTTTGGCCGCCTGCTGAGCTGGGAGTCTCGTTGGCCAACCAAGTCAACCTCTGAGCCTGAGCGGAGCGCTTGTAGCAGCCTGGCCGGGATCTCCGCGTGGTGCCCCATCCCAGCCTCTTCGAAGCCTGCTTTGCCTTCGCTGCCCAGAGCGGGAGGGACGGAACTGCGCCCTCTGGCGGCCCGAGGGGAAAATTAAAAAAAAAGGCGAAGCCACGCCCCGGCGCAAGCAAGACGATTCCTGATTGGCCCGGGAAGTGCAGCCCCGCCCACTCACCGCGGCGCGCGCCAAGACGAAGACCGCCTCCTGGCTGGCGAGGGTGACGTCCGGGTCGGCCTTCACCAGCGCCTTCACGCGAGACAGAGGCAGTCGAGCCGGACGCGAAGGCCCCGCCACCGCCGCCGCTGTTGCTGCCGGCGCCACCGCCGCGGCTACCGGCGCTTCGAGCTCCTCCGGCGCCGCGGCGCTTCCCCCCGCCGCCGCGGGCGCCGCCATCTTGGCCACCTCGGGGCTGCTAGTGCGCAAGCGCCGCTGACGCCATCCCTTGCCAGCCACGCCCCCTACGTCCTCCGGCGCCGCCTTGCGTGAGGGAGGGAGGGAGGGAGGAAGAAGGAGAGGGGAAGGATGGGTGCCCGCGGGCGCCACCGCGTGGCGAAGGCGTGACTTTGCGGAACGCAATGGCTTGCAAGGATTTCGGAAGAAGAGGAGCCGCTGCCCTTGCATGGCTGCACTCACACAACACGTGGCGTTGCTGGATTTACAGTCACTTGTCTGAAAAGGCATAGGTTCTCCTGCTTGAGCAGGGGGCTGGACTAGAAGACCTCCAAAGGTCCCTTCCAGCTGTATTCTATTCTATCCTAACCGCAGTTCTGCGTTTGCAAATGCACTGAAGCATGAATTAACCCCAAAGGACAGCTTTGTCCCCTATCCTACATCCCTCTTACTCAGTTTCTGCAAGATTTAACAGGTGCGGACTTCAACTCCCAGAATTCCCCAGCCAGCAGGCTGGGGAATTCTGGGAGTTGAAGTCTGCACCTGTTAAATCTTGCAGAAAGTCAGACAGGCTGCCCTAAAAGCCCCCCTCCCCCCAAAAATCACATCCGGGTTGTGTTAATTATTTTTTTCTAATCTGCTACATACCTCACACTTCTCATGTTTTGATCTGGCTCTAAGCACCGTTTAATCTCCCATAGTCCAGGATTTGAGCTGGACAGATGTATAAATTCAGTATATAAGGCTTGGCAGAAGCTTCCCTTAGCAGCCAGCTCATCCGGCCGACGCTGGGGCTGTTTTCGGAAGTGCCAGCCACGTGTCAAGAACCGCCTGGTATCCTGCCAAGGATTTCACCCGTCCACCACCCACCTTTCCATCCTGACAATAATTAGAATATGGAGAGGAACAGAGGGCTGCCCTCATTTTACCATCTTTGTCACTTAACAGTTGTTAAGTAAATCATATGGCCATTAAGCAAATCTGGCTCCCCCCCCATTGATTTTGCTTGTCAGAAGGCGGCCAGGGAGGTTGCAAAAGGGACACAGCAACCACCCCAAAGACCTGCCACCTGCCGAGTGTCCAAATTTTGATCACGTGACCTTGGGGATGCTGCAACGGCCATTGAGTATTGAGATGTGTTCTGTGTTTCGGGGGGGGGGAGGGCTGCTCCATTGGACACAGGTGGTGCATTGACAATGAAGGTTTGGTTTGATTTGATTTGAAGTGTGAAAAACTGGTCATAAGTCCCATTTTTCAGTGCTGTGGTAATAACTTCAAATGGTCCCTAAACAAATGGCTGGAAGTCGAGGCCCAGCTCTAATGCCAGGTTAACGGTTGTTCAGCTGCTTTTGGGGGTGCCCCTCGTTAGAGGGCCTTTTCTCAAATGGAGACATTGTGGAAGGAAAAGAAAAAAGAAAGAAAAGTGAGAGAGAGAGACAGAAAAGAGAGAGAAAAGGGGAACGAAAGAGAAAAGAAAAGAAAGAGGAAGAAGAAAGGAAGAATGGGCAAAAGGCAGGAAGGAAGGAGAGAAAAAGAAAGAAGAGAAAGAAAGGAGGAATGGAAAGAAAAAGGGAAAAAAGGAAGAATGGAAAAAGAAAGGAAGGAAGAGTGGAAAGAAGGAAAGGAACAAATGAACCTCTGTGCTCCAGAGACGAGGCCCTTCCCGAGAACTGAGCACAGGCCCCGTGGGAAGCCCTTCTTATTGGGGCTCCTGTTTTCCAAGACAGCCCAGTTCCTCTGAGCGCATGCAGAGTGCTGCAGGGGGTGCCAGCCAGCCAGCCAAGGGCGCCCTGCTGCTGCCGCTGGCGTCTCTTGGCAGCTGGCCGACCACTTAATCCGCCTGGTTTTTGCAAGTGGCTGGAGGAGCCTGTCTGCCCTTCAGACCTTGGCTGCCCCCCTCCGCCCCCGTCTCCCTGCTTCCAAAGTTAGACTCGGATTACGACAGTGACGAGGACACGTTATGAGACGCAGGTCGCTTTCCGCTAGGCTCAAAGGCTGCAGCCAGCGGATCCCTCGCTCTTCCCTGCCCAGGGGGTTACGACCTGCCGGGCTTGGGGGCTCTTGGTCCCCTCCTGCCCCCCATCCAGGCCAAGGGGATGCGCCCAGCCCTGGCCGGGGGGCCCTCCTGGTGCCCTCAGTGAGATTCGGGGGAGGGGGCAGCATGTGGGGGCAGCCGAAACAGGCCCTGCTGGGCTCGCTCTCCCTCCGCCTGGGGGAGGCCTGGCAGAGGCTCAAGGTCTTCTGGAGCGAGAACGGGCTGCTGACCCTCTCCGTCCTCTCCGTGGTGACCGGCTGCCTGGTGGGCTTCCTCCTCCGCTTGCTGGAACTCTCCCATCTGGTAGGTGGGGGTCCTGGGCCCGGGGTGGGGGTGGGGGCAGTCGCCCGTTGGCCTGGCAAGAACTGGGCACCTGCAAAAGAGCAGAGACTGGCATTGTGCACCGTCCGGGGGAGCCTTTCCCGCTGGGTTTCCCTCAACCAAGGCTGGGAGGGCTGCTTTGGCAAACTTTTGGCTTTCTGGGCATTTTATTTTATTTTTTTAATTTATTTTTATATGCCGTCCTTCTCCGGAGACTCAGGGCAGCTTACAATGCGTTAAGCAATAGCCTTCATCCTTTTGTATATTTATACAAAGTCAGCTTATTGCCCCCACAATCTGGGTCCTCATTTCACCCACCTTAGAAAGGATGGAAGGCTGAGTCAACCTTGAGCCTTGGAGAGATTCGAACTTACAGTAATTGCAGACAGCTGGATGTTAAATGCTGCCTTAGTAGGAGGCATTAGCCTCCTACGCCACTCAGGCTCCTCAGGCATTCCGTGCCCGTTCACTTTCCTCTCCCAATAGGAGAAAATACTTGCGGTTCAGCCACCAAGCTCAGAAACACCGAGGACCCTCCTCCTCCCTTCTAGCACTGATGATGTTCCCTAGTTGGGTCATGAAACAAGCTCAGAGGACCCCAGCCCTGAACTGCAAATATTTTCTTCTAGTTTTATTCTGAATCAAATAAAGGGATTCGATCCTCAAGGGACAGCCGAACGCTCAGGGGCCTCCCCCACTTCTCAGCAGAAGGCCCCCCCTATATCTCTGGGTCTGGAGATACGAGGCCTGTGCCCATCTCCCTCTCCTGCCTCCGCCCCCTCTCCCTGCAGCCACTCCCCCCCATCTCCAGGCACTGGGGGCAAAGCCTCAAGGCCAGGGCTGAAATCCAGCAGGTTCTGGAGAACCAGTAGCGGAAATTTTGAGTAGTTCAGAGAACTGGCAAATGCCACCTCTGGCTGGCCCCAGTGGGGAGGGAATGGGGATTTTGCAATATCCTTCCCCTGGAGTGGGGTGGGAATGGAGATTTTGCAGTGTCCTTCCCCTGGAGTGGGGTGGGAATGGAGATTTTGCAATATCCTTTCCCTGGAGTAGGGTGGGAATGGAGATTTTATTTTATTTATTTATTTTATTTTATTTCTATACCGCCCTACTCCCGAAGGACTCAGGGCGGTGCACAGCCAAACAAAATACATACATACAAAATTTAAAAATTTTGCAGTGTCCTTCCCCTGGAGTGGGGTGGGAATGGAGATTCTGCAGTATCCTTCCCCTGGAGTGGGGAGGGAATGGGGATTTTGCAGTGTCCTTCCCCTGGAGTGGGGTGGGAATGGAGATTTTGCAGTGTCCTTCCCCTGCTACACCCACCAAGCCACGCCCACAGAACCGGGAGTAAAGAAATTTGGATTTCACCACTGCTCAAGGCTGCCCTTGGATGGTCTCGGACGTGGGGCAAAAGGGCCCAGATGGTCAAGAGGGCACCAGGCTGCCCCACCCAGACTGGGGCAAGACAACAGAACCCCCCCCCCCCCAGCAGGGCAGAAACAAGACCTTCCCAGGCTAAGCTAAGCTGGAGGGCCGGGAGGGGCTTCGGAAGATGCCCCCCTGAGCTCTTCTCTCTTGGCCTTCCGGTGAGTCCCTAGAGACCTTCTTTCCCTGACAGGCCATCTCCCGGCAGTGGCTCCCCTCTCTGACCCATTGGCCTGCGGGCCCCCACAATGCCCCGGCCACTCAGGGGCCCGGCCTTGCCTTGCAGCCCCACTTCCCCCCACTGTCCCTGGTGGCCAGGCATCTCGTCCTCCCATCTGCCCCATGCCTGCTTCGTGGTTGGCCACTCAGGCTGGGTCAAATGGGGGGGTGGGAGCCAACCCAGCGCCTGCCAGTTTTCCAAGCCTCTGCTCTTCCCTGGAATGGAAAGAGCCTATTCTGCAGTGACCCTCCCGCCTCCTCCCTCCCTCCTGGAGACCCTTCCCCAGAAAGTGCTGCAGCCCCTCCCTCCCTCCCTCCCTCTCTGGCCAATTCCAAATGGCCATCAAAGTACAGCCAGGGGAGAATAACAGAATAACAATGTCGGAAGGGGTTTCCAAGGGCTTCTAGTCCAGGGGTCTCCATCCTGGGTCCTTGAAATGGCGACTGTTTTGATGTCTGGACGCTCAACTCTTATCTTGACCCGGTGATGAGCCCAGCAATTGGTGCTATCCAAAAGTTTTAATTCCGGACAGAATTACCAAAAGTGACGGGCTCTTTGAGCATCATTTCCTGGGGGGTGGGGGGTGGGGGGAAAGGGGGCATGGCAGGGCAGAGGTAGCAAATTCACTCAGCTGGCCAGCTGCAGCTGCGCAGGGTCCATCCCTCTGGCCAGCTATGCCATCACCAGACACAGCTCCGGCCCAGAGAAGGGGCAGGGGCAGGGCAGAGTGCAGTGGTGAAATCCAATTTTTTTTACTACCGATTCTGTGGGCGTGGTATGGCTTGGTGGGCGTGGCAAGGGAAGAATACTGCAGAATCCCCATTCCCTCCCCACTCTGGGGCCAGCCAGAGCTGGTATTTGCCAGTTCTCGGAATTGCTCAAAATGTCCACTTCCGGCTCTCCAGAACCTGTCAGAACCTGCTGGATTTCACCCCTGGCAGAGTGGCATGCAGGGGGTGACAATAACCAGTTGCATGCTTGGCACCTGTTTCTTTTATTTAATCAATTTATTTATGAAGTTTATAAGGCCAGCACTGACCGTATTGCAATGGTCAGGGCTGGCAGTGAATGGCTGCAGCACCCAGGAAAAATGCCCCCCCCCTCCGAGCAATACAGATGGTGGGACGTTTATTCTGAATTTGGGTGGAGAGAGACAGCAGATTCCGTGCTGGGAGTCTTTCTTCTCCATTCCAGAGGAAGAGCAGGTGGGAGACCAACGGAAAATACACCCACCCGTCTTAAGGTCAAAGCTGTTTGGGGGATTTTGGGCCAGTAGCTCTCTCAGCCCAGCCCACCTGACAGGGTTGTTGTGGGGAAAAGAGGCGGGGAGGAAGGGAGGCTCTCTTTCTCCAGAATCCATGATGGTCGTCCCAAAGGAGCTTTTATTATAAAGGCAAATGGACTCTCTGATGTTTGCTTGAGACATTTTGCAAACTGAAGAAGCTTCTTGGATGAGAAGCGAAACATCCTGAAAAGAAAACCGGAAAGTCCATTTGCCTTTACAATAAAAGCACCTTTGGACGAGGGTCAGGTGTGTTCACCTATTCTTCCTAATAAAGATGTTATCCCATCTTTATAAGAAAAATAAAGATGGGATTTTTTAAAAAAATCTAAAAACAGGCCCAGTTTGTGGCAAAGGGGGAAGGAAGGAGTGCCAGTCAGAGGCTGGCAAAAATGGGATAAATTTCCCGCAGGGATGGTTACCCCCCCCCCCCTTACCCACTCTTTGCAGCCCTCAATGGGGCCACCCCCCCTTTACGTGCACATGATGCCCGGATTTCTTAGGTTTAGTATCTGATATGGACCCAGACTCTGGTTAGTTTGTGGTTTGATGTACTGTGATTTGTGAACTCCCTAACATAGGCAAATTCAGGCCCAGTGTGTGCATATAGCTGGCAGGGGTACGTGTGTATGTGGGGTCTTGGCAGTAACTTGGTGGGCACAGGGCCCACCCCGATCCTAAAGAGAGAGAGATCCTTGCTTAGGATAGCTTTTCCAACAGCATCCTTCTGAAAAACAGATGCTGCTCAGCTCAGGATTTCGGGGGGGAGGGGGGCAGGGGAAATCCTTCTGACTGTTTACCAGCAATGCCAAAGGGGGGGGGGGTTGGAAACTCAGGTACGGAGGAAAGTTGGCATTTATCCATGCCCGCAGCTAAAGGATGGGAGTGCTTACAGGAAATTTCTTAAGGAAATTCGGGTGGTGGGCTCTAGGTGGGGAGGGGGCAGCCTGGGGAGCTTCTCCAGCTCAGGAGAGCCAGCAGCCAGGATGGGGCAGCAGCCCCCCCTGCGTGGCTACTTGGAAATGCACTTCAAAAGAGATTTTTTTCCCCCTTCCTGAAGTTGCTGAAAAAGTTTTGGGCCCCAGCTGCATTTTGCTCCCCAAGGACGCAGCCCAGGAGCCTGACCTGTTTACTTTCTGTCTGCAGGCGAAACAATATTTCTCCTTCCCCGGGGAACTCCTGATGAGGATGCTGAAGATGCTAATTTTGCCGCTCATCACCTCCAGGTGAGTGCGGCGCCCCTGGGGAAGGGCAGGTGTGTGGGGAGGCGGATCGGAGAGGCTCCGGGAGGGTTCGTGTCACCCGGCCGGCTGGCGGGAATAATTGCTACTTGGCATGGAAGAACGAGCAAACTCTGCTTGGCAGCTGGGGTCACAAGTCACGCCAGTTACCCCCCCGGGAAGCAAAACTTTTGAATTGCAGGGGCTGTGAAGTTTCTCCTGGCACAGCTGGTTCTGTTTTTGTATTGCAGCTATAATCCTGTGGGAAAGATGGAAAGTAAACTTGGTCAGAGTTTGATCTGACGCCAGGCACCTGGAGGGCACGGGGCCAAGGGCAGGCCAACCTCTTTGGAGCCAAAGCTGCTGGCATAAGATGATTGTTCGACCCCTGGTCTCTTGGAGGGGGGGAGTTGGTGACCCCAAGTTAAGATCCTGGATTTGGCAGCCTTTGTCCAGTACAGTGTTTGTCAAGCTTGGCCACTTTAAGACAAGTAGATTTCAACATAGACTTCTAGAAAACTTCAACTAACTTCTACATAGACTTCTAGACTTCAACTAACTTCAACTAATTTTTACATAGACTTCTAAAAAACTTCAATCAACTTCTACATAAACTTCAACTAACTTCAGCTAACTTTTATGTAGACTTCAACTAACTTCAACTAACTTTTACATAGACTTCTAAAAAACTTCAATCAACTTCTACGTAGATTTCTAGACTTCAACTAACTTCAACTAACTTTTACATAGACCTAAAAAACTTCAATCAACTTCTACATAGACTTCAACTAACTTCAACTAACTTTTATGTAGACTTCAACTAACTTCAACTAATTTTTACATAGACTTCTAAAAAACTTCAATCAACTTCTACATAGACTTCTAGACTTCAATTAGCTTCTACATAGACTTCTAAAAGAAATTCAAGTAACTTCTACATAGACTTCTAGATTTCAACTAACACCAACTAGCTTCAACATAGACTTCTAGAAAACCTCAACTAACTTCTACACAGCCAGCTGGGGAATTCTGAGAGTAGAAGTCCAGTTGTCTTAAAAGTGACCAAGCTTGAGGAACACTGTTCTAATCCAGCCTTTATTGTAATTTCCCAAGTTTAAAGTTTCTCCTTTTTATTTTCCCATGCCATAATCTACTTCCCTTTCTGCCTCTGTTGCGACTCGCTGCCAAATCCTCCTGTCCGGATTCACGGCCCAGCCAGTCCTTACGAGACGTCGGTGGGCCTTTTTCTCCGGCTCAGTGGCCAGGCGTTCTCCGCACATCATCTGCGGGGCCACTGAGCCAGGACTTTGCTGGGGGCTTGTGTTTTTTGTCCCTCCTCCTCTCAATCCAAGCCAGTTTCCCCCAAAACAAACACCATGCGAGGCAAGAAACGTACAGAGAACTCCCAGTCTTTGGAAACTGACCGGACCATGCCCAAAAGTTTCTGATTCGGAGACACCCCAGGGCAGCTGGGTGGCTGAAACTTACCAGCTGTAATAAACCCCCCCCCTATTTATTTGGGTTCACACAACACAGAACAAACCACCAAAGCTCCTTAAGGCTTAGCCATCCTCAGTCAGGCCTGGGGGGCGCCCTCTGTCTGTCTCCTGGCCCTCTCGGGGGGACCTGATGCCCCAGGCCCTTCCTTCCTTCCTTCCTTCCTTCCTTCCTTCCTTCCTTCCTTCCTTCAGTTTGAAGGTACCCAAGCATTTTTTTTTAGATTTTTGTTTACAATTTTGCCTTTATTATTTTTATAAATAAGTCTAGGCAGCAAATATACCTTATACAACTTCCTCTTTTATTTTCCCTACCACAACAACCCTGGAGGTAGATTTGGCTGAGAGAGAAGGACTGGCCCACAGTCACCCAGCTGGCTTTCACGCCTAAGGTGGGACTAGAACTCCCAGTCTCCTGGTGATTGGCCCAAAGTCATCCAGCCACTTTTCATGCCTAAGGTGGGACTAGAACTCCCCGTCTCCTGGTGATTGGCCCAAAGTCACCCAGCCACATTTCATGCCTAAAGTGGGACTAGAACTCCCCGTCTCCTGGTGATTGGCTCAAAGTCACCCAGCCACTTTTCATGCCTAAAGTGGGACTAGAACTCCCCGTCTCCTGGTGATTGGCCCAAAGTCACCCAGCCATTTTTCATGCCTAAGGTGGGACTAGAACTCCCCGTCTCCTGGTGATTGGCCCAAAGTCACCCAGCCACATTTCATGCCTAAAGTGGGACTAGAACTCCCAGTCTCCTGGTGATTGGCTCAAAGTCACCCAGCCACTTTTCATGCCTAAAGTGGGACTAGAACTCCCAGTCTCCTGGTGATTGGCCCAAAGTCATCCAGCCACTTTCATGCCTAAGGTGGGACTAGAACTCCCAGTCCCCTCGTGATTGGCTCAAAGTCACCCAGGCGGCTTTTATGCCTAAAGCGGGACTAGAACTCCCAGTTTCTAGCCTGGTGCCTTCACCCCTAGACCAAACTGCCTCTCTTTTGCCTTCCTCCCCCAAGCCCAGTTTGCCTCCAGGGTGTGCAACCCCTTCCAGGGTGCAGAGCCCCCCATTTCCCTTCAGCTCCAGACAGAAGGAGGCCCCTTTCCTCCGTTGGTTTCCCTTCCGAGGGTCCATCAGGTTTGACCCCACACAAGGCTGACTCCATGAGGTCAGCCAAGGTCTGCCACCTGCCACCCCCGGCTGTGAGTCCATGTGCAGGAGCCCCCCCCCCCCCCCCCCCCCCCCCCTGCTTAGCATCTTTCGATTAGCCCCCCCCCCCGCGGTCTGTTTTCCGCTAAGGAGATCAGCCTCACCTCCGGAGATTAGATCCTCTGACAGGCGGATGGCCTGAGATGACCGGGCTCAGGTCTCACCCATCCATGCTTCAGAAATGGGGGTGGGTGGGTTTCCCTCTGGGGGAGACCCTGGGACCCTGGGCTTTGTCTGCCCAGGCAAAGGAATGTTTGTTTGTTTGTTTATTCATTCATTTACTTCAATCGTCTCGCCACCCCCCCTCCCCACATCCCGCCTTATGTTCCCTCTCCCCTGTTCAGCACAATGGCAGAATTAAAGTTTTATAGAACAGCGGAGTTGGAAGGGACCTTGGAGGTCTTCTAGTCCAGCCCCCTGCTCAGGTAGGAAACCCTAGACCACTTGAGACAAATGGCTGTCCAGCCTCTTCTTAAAAAAACCTCCTGGTGACCCATAGATAGCCTGTGGGAGCCCCCGGGAGGAGATGGAAGCGTTTCCCCCCCCCCAGGGCTTGACCAGGAAGATCGAGAGCTGGATTGCAACCATTGCGGCCGCCATCTTGCCTTTTTTGACCTCACCCTGCTGACCACCTGAGCCCTTGCTGTTCCCTTGCACGTAGAGGAGGGGGGCGACCCCCAGCCCAGCTGGCCGTGCCCCCATCCCCATGCCAGTCTCTGCCCGTCTGTCTCTGCCCCCTGCAGCCTGATGTCCGGCTTGGCCACCATGGACTCCCGAGTCTGCGGCAAGATGGGCCTGCTGACCATCACTTACTACCTTTGGACCACCTTCGTAGCCGTCACCACAGGCATCGTGCTGGTGATCAGCATCCACCCGGGCGCCGCTGCCCAGAAGGAGGAGCACTCGGTGGGCAAAGTGGTGCTCAGCTCGGCCGATGCCCTGCTGGACCTCATCAGGTAGCCGCCCCCAGCCCAGCCCGGCCACCCTCCCTCGGCCCTGGGTGGGCAGCAGGTTCAAGGCAGCTCTTCAGCTTTAGACGGGGATTACCTGGCAGTGCCCGAGGGGCATCGTGCAGGGAGGGCAGCGGTCGGCTCAGGCTGCAGCTTGACCCGTCGGGACCCGGCCGAAGGATTTATCCATGGTGCAGAGACCGCCTGACTGCGAAGGCTGGAGACCTTTGGTGGCCGAAGAGAACGTGGCCTCCTTTTACGGAATGGCTCCGGTTGGCTAAATGCTCGTAAAATTATTTAAAAAGTCATAATTTCCCCTTGTTGGGGGCCGAGACAAAGGACCAGAAGGTGAAGACCCTGCGGAGAGGAAAAGGGTGAGGGGAGACTGTCGTGAGGGCCTTCCATTAGAGGCCTCCGACTTCAAAGGTGCAAGTGGGTAATTTCTTGAAAGTGTTGAGAAGATGGGTTGAGTCTCCCGTGGCTGGGCGAGGGGCAAATGGGGTCTTCTTCTCCAGGGGGATCATCCGTTGGGTCCAAGATTGGCTTTAATCGCAAGATGGGAGGCTCTTTATTAAGACTCACACACCCTGGAGAAAAGGGCCTGGCCCAATGGTCACGCATCGGGAAAATCAGGAGACGCAGGCAGTTGAAATGAGTGTATCCTGCAAGAATCCGGCCAACTAACAGTCAAGGGAAATGAGCGGGAGATAAGAGTAGAAGGCATTCAAGGCAGGCTGGAGTGAGATCTCTTGTGGGCGCAGAGAGACTCAAGACTTACGACACGTTTGATTCTTCCTCCCTGGTCCTTTCCTACACCCATCCTTCTTCGTCTTGTCTTCTGCAGAAATATGTTCCCTTCCAACCTGGTGGAGGCTTCCTTCCAGCAGGTGAGCTCCTGGCCCACAATGGCCTCTCTTCACTCGGGGGTCTCAGCTGCCACTCCCTTAAGACTTGGGGGTGGGGGTGGGAGGGGATACCGTGACCTGGCCTCCACCCCCATCCCTGAATTTGAGTAACCCCTTTGGACTGGTTTGAGCTTCCGGCCACAGCGAGAGTCAGACGCACCAGGGAGGAGCCAATCGCCTATAGGATCCTGGATTGAGGGGGGCCCTAGTGGTCATCTAGTCCACCTCCCTCCTCAGTGCAGGAACCCAGCCTCTTCCTGACAGGTGCCTCCATCAGATACGTTTGATATCTGAGGGGAGCCCACCACTCCCTCCCCTTCTCCTCCCTCCCTCTCTTCTTCATCGTCGGCCCCGATGAAGAGCTGGTGCCAAAATCGGTGTGGAGGGAGGAGGGGCCCTGGACCCTTTCAGCCACACCTGATGCCCTTGGTCCTAAGCCTGCAAGCCTAAGAGAAGATTTCCACTGTGCAAAATCCCAGCCGAAATCCCCGCTTGCTTTGCCTTCCAGTATCGGACTGTCCTCGTCCCCGTAGTGAAATCCTCCGGGATCCCGAAGAAGGCCAGCTCGTCTTTCAGCTTCATTTACTTGGTGCCCGATCCCGGGAACCCAGAGATCCAGCGTCCCGTTCTGCTGGAGATCACTCCCTCGCCGGAAATGATCTACGAGGCGCTCCCTGGGAACAACAACGAAATGAACGTCTTGGGCATCGTCCTCTTCTCGGCCACGGTCGGTACGTGGACACTGCTAGGGGCAGGGCAGCCCCCCCCGGTCTCTGGGGTCCCTTGGGGGGAGGAATGGGGCCTGCCCCCTTTCCTTTTCCCCCCGAAAGAAGGACCGTGAGCACCGTGCCTTAATAGTAAATGTAAGAAAATCCTCAAGTCTATGAAATCAACATACGTTGGTTAACATATAAGAGGAGATATCGGTCTCCTCCAGGCCCGGATGCCGCATCCCAGAAGCTACGCTGGTGGGGATTATGGGTGCTGTAGTCCATGTCATCCCTTGGGCATCTAGGAAAGAAAGACCCTTGACTCCATTCGTAGAGAAGAGGTCTGCTTTCCCCAAGGCCAAGTGGTTACAGCGTGAGCAAAGCCAGATCTGAGTATTCCTGCCTAAACCCAGCAATTTTCCCTTCTCCCAAGTCTCCCCTCCTTGGTCATTGGCCAGTGTCCAGCAGGTGTTTTGGTAACAGTCTTAAAGTTTGGTGCCTCTTTGGTGGTTTCCCAAGATGCTTCTTCAGGAGGCATCTGGACTTCCTTTGTTCTTTCTTTTGAAGATGTTTCGCTTCTCCTCCAAGGAGCTTCTTCAGCTCTGACTGGATGGTGGGGGATGGAAGGATTGATACTCCCTGCAGACAGCTGGTCCTTTGCATCCTTTTGGAGGGTCGTTGAGGCCACTTGGAGGTTTACCTGTGTCCTCAGGGTCTCACCTGAGTGGTGGAAATAGGGGTGGGGCCTTCTTGGAGCTGCTGAAGGGACTGGGTTGTAGACTGGAGATAGATGATGTTGTATCCTTATCCCCCTCCTCTCTTGAGCGGGGGCTGTTCCTTTTTGGAATAGATGGCCTCTTGGATCCCTCAACAGAGGGGGGGGAGGGATACGACATCATCTCTCTCCTGTCTACAACCCCATCCCTTCCGCAGCTCCAAGAAGGCCCCACCCCCATTTGCACCACTCAGGTGACCCTGAGGACACAGGTAAACCTCCAGGTGGCCTCAAGGACTCTGTAAAAAGGAGGCAAAGGACCAGCTTGGTCTGCAAGGAGTATCAGTCCTTCCCCATCCAGTCAGAGCTGAAGGAAGCTCCTTGGATGAGAAGCAAAATGTCTTCAAAGAAAGAACCAGAAAGTCCAGGTACCCCTGGAAAAAACCCACCTTTGGGGGCAGCCATGACCTGGGTGACGGAGAATCTCTCTAAACCAGGGATGGCTAACCTTTTGGCTGTCGTGTGCCAAAAGTGGAGATCATGGGGGGGGGGGTTCGCGCATGCATGTGCCCATACCCATAATTCAATGTGCCCCACCCTCCACACATGCACACGTGACCCCCCGCGCTACTCCCACTTTTGGCACGTGATGGCACGGTGGGCCCGGTAGGCCTGTTTTCTGCCCTCCCCAGGCTCCAGAGTCTTTCTTGGAGCCTGGGGAGGGCAAAAACAGCCTTCCCTCCCCCACCCGGGAGGCCCTCCAGAGGCCGGAAACAGCCCATTTCCCGACTTCAGCTGGGCCCGGAAGGCCCGAAAATTAGCTGGCCGGTGCGCATATGCGCGCTGGAGCTGAGTAGGGCAACACTTGCGTGCCCACAGATACAGCTCCGCATGCCACCTGTGACACCCGTGCCATAGGTTCGCCATCACGGCCATAGACTCTCTTTGGTGGGTGTTTGCCTTCCGTTCTGCCCCTCGTGCCCTTGGATCTCTCGACCCGTTGTCTCCGATGGGCACCCAGTCTGGTTGCTGTCATCCCCACTCCCTGATCTACTCCCCACTCAGCCCCCCCTCCTTTTTATGGCAGGATGCCATCAATGCGAAGTGTTGTGTGACAGGAGATCTGACAGCACAACCCTTCTGCAGTCCCATCAGAGGGCTTGGCAGGGAGGTGGAAGTGCCTAAGGAAGCCCATTTTCAAGTCACCTCCCGATTCTGCCCTGCATGGCTGGCTCTTCCCTTGTGGCAGCTCAACAGTGGAGGGAGGGGCCCTTTGGGTGGTCTTCATCTCTGCAAGACTTTGAGATGTTTTCGTGGCCGGGACTTGCCCGCCTTCCTTCCTTCCTTCCTTCCTTCCTTCCCTTCCTTCCTTCCTTCCTTTCCTTCCTTCCTTCCTTCCTTCCTTCCTTCCTTCCTTCCCTCCCTTCCTTCCTTCCTTCTTTCCTTCCCTTCCTTCCTTCCTTCCTTCCTTCCTTCCTTCCTTCCTTCCTTTCCTTCCTTCCTTCCTTCCTTCCTTCCTCTTCCTTCCTTCCTTCCTTCCTTCCTTCCTTCCTACCTTCCCTTCCTTCCTTCCTTCCTTCCTTCCTTCCGGTCTGGTTTTCGTCTTCTCCGTTGAGCCACAGCCAGGGACTCCCGGTGGCCTCCCAGTCAAGAATGGAGGGGGTCCCCAGTAATGAGGACCTGACCCATCTTTTCTTTTCAGGCCTTCTCTTGGGGAAGATGGGGGAGCGAGGGGCCCCCCTGGTTAACGTGTGCCAGTGCCTGAACGAGGCCGTGATGAAGATTGTGGCCATGGCGACGTGGTGAGTCCAAGCTCCCCCCGCCCCCTGGGCCAAGCGGCATTGCCCCCTGCCATCAGATTGGCAGCCGGCTCAAGACCCCACCCTGCCAGCCTTTTCAGCCCCCCTCCCAGATTCTCCAGTCATGTTAGGGGTGTCAGCCCCAGACCTGAAAGTGGGGGGAAGGTCTGGGGCAGCCCCTTTCGTTGGGGGCTGCGAGGTCAGCCTGCGGAAGCTGGGCACAATGCCAATCTTGGAAAACGGCAGACTTGCCATGTAGATCATTATTGTAAGGCTACATTAAGAGAAATGTGCAGCTCTGTCACTACCAAACCGCCCCTGTCTCTTTCACCACCCACTATGCAGTGGCCTCCTTCCTATCCGGCCCTTCCTTAGGCTGCCCCAGCTCTACCCTGGGTCAGTGGGCCAGCTGTGCCCAGGCCCACCAAGGTGGCGATTGCAAGCAAAAACATTGAGGTCTCCCTGGATCATTTCACTCATTTCACCCGGAGAAGTTCCCAGGGAACTTCCCTTTTTTCCCACCTTCTCTGGCCAAAGGGGCGTCTCTTCCCATGCCCAGCTGTGCCACCTTCAGGGCAGTGGGAGATATGGAGGAGGAGGAGGAGGAGGAGAAAGTCCTTGTGGCTATTTGCCAGGATTGCTGGTGGGGCCAAGGAGCCCACAGAACTCTGAACAGAAGAAATGTAACGGGGGGGGAGGGGGGCAAATCTTTTGCTGAACCTCCTAAGAGAATGTGGGGCACCAGCCCTTGTCCTGGGGATCCCCGGTTGGCCCCTGTGGAGACCTCTCTGCTCTGAGGTCTCCTGGTGACCATCAGGTGTCCTGGACCTCAGAGGGGAGGTGGCCTTGATCAGCCCACCTTTCCCCTCTGCCCGGACACCTGCCTGCCTCTCCATCCAGCCGCCCCTCCCCCATCAAGCCCTGGGGATCCTGCCTCTGCTCCCACCCGCCCTTGCCCAGAAGAGGGGGGGGCTGCCTCCTGCCAGTCTCCCTGGGCCGATTCTGCTGCCTCCTGTGTGCAGGTACTTCCCTTTCGGGATCGTCTTCTTGATCGCCGGGAAGATCTTGGAGATGGAAAACCCAGCGCTGACGGGGAAGAAGCTGGGCCTCTACGCCATGACGGTGGTGACCGGGCTGGCCATCCACGCCCTTTGCTTCCTGCCCCTCCTCTTCCTCATCCTGACCCGGAAAAACCCCTTCCCCTTCATCCGGGGAATTCTCCAGGCCCTGCTGATCGCCCTGGCCACCTCGTCCAGGTATGAACCCCCCAGGGGCAGCCAACGGGCTGCGGGGGTCCCTCTTTTGCCTTCTGCTTCCCACGGGGCATCGCGGGCACCATGCTGTCCGCTTGAAGGGCCCACCGGCCTAGGAAGCCTCTCCAAGGGCAGCCAACGGAGAGATCTAGCAAGGCGACTCATTCGTCCCGATCCCCAAGGTGCTTTTTCAGGAGGCAACTGGACTTCCTGGTTTTTCTTGGAAGACGTTTGGAAGGATTTTTATTTTTTATTTATTTGTTTCCATTTCTATATGCTCCTTGCAGGTCATTTGGCACCCTTTATAGAGAGCCGTTGAGGCCGCTTGGAGGTTTTTATCTCTGTCCTCAGAGTCACCAGAGTCGTGCAAATGGTTCCTGTAGCCTGCAATTTTTCTCGGATTTCCAGAATAATTGCAGACTACAAGAACCATTTGCACCACTCCGGTGACCCTGAGGACACAGACAAACCTCCAAGCAGCCTCAACAACCCTCTAAAAGGATGCAAATGACCGGCTGTCTGCCAGGAATATCAATCCTTCCATTCCCCACTATCCTGTCTGTGCTGAGGAAGCTTCTTGGATGAGAAGCGAAACGTCTTTCAAGAATAACCAGAAAGTCCAGTTGCCTCCTGAAAAAGCCCCTTTGGGACAACCGTGACCTGGAGGACTGAGACTCTCCATAGACATTCGTCCCTATGTCAGTCATTAAATGAAGCTCCCCTGTTCAGAGGCAGTTTACCTGTCAAAGCCAGATCCTGAGGACAAATGTGAAGGGAGCAGCATTCCTGGGAGTATCTCAGTAACATTTCAAGATGAGGAGGAAGCAGCTTGGGTCCCATTGGTCTCCTCCAGTGGAGCTCCCTGTCCAGCTTTAACAGAATAACAGAGTTGGAAGGGACCTTGGGAGGTCTTCCAGTCCAGCCCGATGCTTGAGCAAGAGGCCCTGCCCCATTCCAGACAGGTGGCCGTCCAGTCTCCTCTTAGAAACCTCCAGTGATGAAGCACCCACAACTTCTAGTGGCAAGCTGTTCCACTGTTCGCCTTGTTTGGAAGTTTCTCCTTAGTTCCAGGTTGCTTCTCTCTTGATTAGTTTCCACTTGTTGCTTCTTGTCCTGCCCTCGGGGGCTTTGGAGAATATGTGTACCCCCTTTTCTTTGGGGCAGCCCCTGAGATACTGGAATGCTCCTATCTAGTTCTCCTTTTCATTAAACTCAACATTGGTCCTTCCAACCCCTTGAAGCTCTTGCAGAGGAATTTCAAGTGGGGGAAGGACGGGAATCTTTTGGCTTTCCCCTTCATGCCCAGGGCCTTCCCCGTAGCTCGTTCCCACGTCTTCAAGGCATCTGAACATCGTAGGAAGGTTTGTGTCTTGAGGACGGAGGGTGGATACACGGAGACGTTTTCCGAGCCCTCGTCTGTCCCCGCAGTTGTGTTGATGACACTGCCTGTCCTCCTCCCTGGTTGTGTCTGTTGTGTGTCCCCCCCCACCCTCTCTCTCAGTGCTGGGGGGAACAGGGCTTCCCCTAACAAGTGGCCCCCTCTCTCTCTCCCAGCTCAGCCACGCTGCCCATCACCCTGCGGTGTCTCCTGGAGAACAACCGGATTGACAAGCGCATCGTCCGTTTCATCCTCCCGGTCGGAGCGACCATCAACATGGACGGGACCGCGCTCTACGAGGCGGTGGCCGCCATCTTCATCGCCCAGGTGAACGAGTACGACCTCGACCTGGGACAGCTCATCACCATCAGGTAAGGATCGTCTTCTCCTCTGCCCAGCAGCCACCTCAGCCCTTCGACTATTTCAGAGGCCGCTGCCATGATTAGAAGAAGTCTAAGAGTTGGAAGGGACCTTGTAGGTCATCTAGTCCACCCCCACCCTGCCCAAACAGGAGACCCGACACCATTCCTGACAAACGGCAGTCCAGCCTCTTCTTTAAAACCTCCAGAGATGGAGCTCCCACGACTTCTGTTCCATGGGTTAATTGTCCTCAGAAAACTTCTCCTCCTCAGTTCTCGGTTGGCCCGTAGTTCATCTGAGCCCTTCAAAGCATCAAGGTCTCTGCAAAGGATTGCCACTGTGGCTGTGCAGTTGGAGCCCCGATAGGGTTGTGTGTGCAACGGTTTCCATGAGCAAAGCCACTCCCTGGGCCATTTGGACCACGACTGCAGACGCCCCTGAGGGCCACTGTGCTTTCTTACGCAAGCTTAAGAGTTAATATAATGTAATTCGATGTAAATCAAGGTCTTTACGGACCCTCATTGACGGGGGGGGGAGATGCTGCAGGATTAACTAGAAGAAGAGAGAAGTCACCCCAGTGCTAAACAGAATGGAGTAGGCCAGTGATGGGGAACCTCTGGCACGTGTGCCGGAAGTGGCACGCAGAGCCATCTCTCTGGGCACGCGAGACGTCACCCATTCCTCTTCTGGGTTCCAGTGTGCCAGCCACCGGATCTTCATGCAAATGGCAGCGCTGGGAACCAGAAGAGCAGCTGCCTGGCACGTATAATCATATGCGTGCCGGCCACCTGGTCTTCCAGTTTCTGGCACGCCTGAGTGCGCAAAGACCAGCTGGTCGGTGAACATGCACATGCCAGAAACTGGAAGATTATCCGGTTTCTGGCGTTCCAGCACACGTGAAGATCAGCTGGCCAGCACACCAGAACCCAGAAGAGCAATGTGCGATGGCTCGCGTGCCCAAAGACGTGGAGAGGGGATCCCGGTGGTCGCTTCCGAGGGGAGCAGAGCTGTTGACCAGGACGGGCGGGCCGGGGCTTCCCTCCTTCCCTGCCCGAGTGGGCTTCTTGCGCAGCCCCAGCCCTCCAGCCCACGGCATTGATGTACGTCCGTGGTCTGGAGCACCTGGCCGGCTCGGTCTGCTGCTGGTCTTCTGGGGCAGTGGGGCTGCGCAGGAGCTGAGTCCGTGTAGGAGGAACGTCTGTCCCGCACTGGGGTAAGAGGCGCGCCAGCAGGGAAGCAGTCGCGCTCCCTTGGCAGAAGTGGTGGGAAGGTGGGGCTGTGCTGGCTTGTTCTCAGTGGCGGGCTGCAGGGGGGGACGCTTCATCCCGGCCAGAGTTGGGGCAAAGCTCTCCCGCCTGTTGACCCCCCAATCTGAGCCCCAGGAACACCGACACCCCTTCCCTCAGAGGCCGGGAAGAGGCTCCGGCTTTCCAGTGGAGGGAGGCGCCATTCCCCGCCCAACTTTCTTTCCCTGTCCGGGGCTACAGAACTGGGTGGTCAGTGGGGATGTCCCGCCACCCTGAAAGGCGGAAGGACCCCCAAAAGGCTAGGCGGAGCCAGCAGAGGGTCCCCGTATGCAGAACTCATCCCTCCCCCACTGCTGACAGCTCCAGTGCCCCCCGCCACCCCTTCCCCCATGGCCCAGGCAAATTTTAACATTTGAATTTTAACACTCTTTGGTTTCCGGTATGCGCATGCACACTGGCAACCTGGTCTTCCCGTTTCTGGAGCGCATGCGTGCGTGAAAACCACTTGGCCGGTGCGCATGTGGAAACCGGAAGATCATCTTCCCAGCACACGGATGTATGTCGGGCAACTCCTTTTCCGGTTTCCGGCACACACACTTCCGTTTCTGCACTCATGCCGAAAAGGTTCGCCAACACTGTAGTTGTCAGGTTTCGATGTCATCTCAAATAAATTGCATTTCCAAACAAATAGTCTTTGATGAAATCTTTCATTTATTAAGCACGACAATCTGTCCCCGATTATGTCGTAGACAACACTGACTTCCTGACCCCAAACCTTCCCTTTCTGTTCCCCAATTCTCTGTGTCTCATTGGCCATCTTCCAACTCACTCTCCCCATATCTACTACTTCAGCTCCCAGGAATGTCCCCCCTCCCATTCCATCTCCTAGGGGATATTATCTTCAGGGAAAATAAGTAGGTGAAAAGTCAAGTGTCCTCTTGCCAGCTGCCCCCTCTTCTCCTTATGTCAGCACTGGAACGAATGTAGTTTGGAGTGCTGACATCCAGCCCCGACCGGGATGATCTTTGGGGTAATTTTACGAGTGGTGTGGTGGCCTAAAGGTGAAGCTCTCACCTCACAATCAGGAGGCTGTGAGTTCGATCCTAGCTAGAGGCAGATATTTCTCTCTCGGGGCACGATGAGATTGTGTCTGCTGAATAAAATTCCGCAATGGCGACAGGAAGGGCCATTATCTGGCCAGTATACACTCAGCTCCATTCAGTTGCCCAGACTCCACTCCTCAAGGGGTTATGGGGTCCTTAAAAGAAGATGATGATGATGATATTTGGGGTAATTTTACATGTGTGTTGGTCAGCTGTGGCTTGTCAACTGCCTACGGCCGAACATTATGTGGCAAAGTCCCGGTGGCACAGCTGCTTCTCTCTGTCCCCACAGCATCACAGCCACGGCCGCCAGCATCGGGGCCGCTGGGATTCCTCAGTCGGGCCTCGTCACCATGGTCATCGTGCTCACCTCCGTTGGCCTCCCCACCGAAGACATCACGCTGATCGTCGCCATCGACTGGGCCCTGTGAGTCTCCCCGCTTCCAGCCGGCCGGCTCCTGCACGTCTCTGGAAGGCTCCGGGGGTTGTGACTGGCAGGGAAGGACAAAAGAGATGCACAGCTCAGATTGGGGTCTTTGGTGCTCTCTCAGCTGGAGGTTTGTTTGCAGACGTTTCATGACCCAACTCGGTAATGCCATCAGTATAAGCAGGCAGTAAGGATGGTCACAGGTTGTTGGACAATGAAACGTCTGCAAGTAAACGAGCATGAACTCTACAGGAGGAAGAGAGCTAAGCCCCATTCTCCCACAGAGTGAGAGGTGGGCGGGGATCTTCCTTCCTTCCTTCCTTCCTTCCTTCCTTCCTTCCTTCATTCATTCATTCATTCATTCATTCATTTTTCTTTCTTTCTTTCTCTCTCCTTTCTCTTTTCCTTCCTTCCTTCCTTCCTTCCTTTTCCTTCCTTCCTTTTCCTTCCTTCCTTTTCCTTCCTTTTCCTTCCTTCCTTCCTTTTCCTTCCTTCCTTCCTTCCTTCCTTTTCCTTCCTTTCTTTCTTCTTTCTTTCTTTCTTTCTTCCTTCCTTCCTTCCTTCCTTTCTTTCTTCCTTCCTTCCTTCCTTCATTTTTCTTTCTTTCTTTCTCTCTCCTTTTTTTCCTTCCTTCCTCCTTCCTTCATTTTTCTTTTTCTTTCTCTCTCCTTTCTCTTTTCCTTCCTTCCTTCCTTCCTCTTTCTTTCTTCCTTCCTTCCTTTTCTTTCCTTCCTTCCTTCCTTCCTTCCTTCCTTCCTTCCTTCTTCCTTCCTTCCTTCCTTTCTTTCTTTCTTTCTTTCTTTCTTTCTTTCTTTCTTTCTTTCTTTCTTCCCTTCTATTCTGGATGTATTCATTTACATACTTACCTATGTAGGCCCCTTCCCTAATGGGGTCTTTGGGCCAGCTTTCCCTTCCTCTGCCTGAAAAGCCCAGCAACCAAGGCTGCAGAGCTGCATGCTTTGATTCTGTGTGTGTGTGTGTGTGTGTGTGTGTGTGTGTGTGTGTGTACAGGTAGTCCCTGACTTACGACTGTTCATTTTCTGACTGTTCGAAGTTACAACAGCACTGAAAAAAGTGACTTTCACACTTACAACCATTTTGGCCTCCCCAGGGTCACGGGATCAAAATTCAGATGCTTGGCCACTGATTCATATTTATGACGGTCGCAGTATCCCGGGGTCACACGATCCCCTTGTGCGGCCTTCTGGCAAACAAAGTCAATGGGGAACCCAGATTCGCTTAACAACCGTGTCACTAACTTAACAATCGCAGTGATTCTCTCAACAACAGTGGCAAGAAAAGCCATACAATGGGACAAACCTCCTTAGCAAATGTTTCACTTACCAACGTAAATGTTGGAATCCATTGTGGTCGTAAGTCGAGGGCTGCCTCTATAAGTGTGGGTTTTGCGTGGCTTTGCAGGCGTCCCTGTTAACTGATTGTGGAAGCAATCTACAGGAACCGGGTACACTTAGGAGCAACCGGGGGGGAGGGAGGGGGCTGCTTTCTGCCTGAGGGAAAGGGGTCCACAGGGGCCGGTCCAAAGAACCAAGATGGCAGCTCCTGACCATCCCTCACAGTCACCCTGGTGGGAGTTCAGTTGATGTTCAGCCTGGCAGGAACCAGCATTGATGCCTCTTGGAGAGCACCCGGAATGGAGGTCTGGGGAGATTCTCCGTCATCCAGGTCAAGACTTCCTTTGTTCTTTCTTTGAAGACGTTTCGCTTCTCCTCCAAGGAGCTTCTTCAGCTCTGACTGGATGGTGGGGAAGGGAAGGATTGATACTCCTTGCAGGCAGAGCTGGTCCTTTGCCTCCTTTCGGAGGGTCCTGGAGGCCACGTGGAGGCTTACCTGTGTCCTCAGGGTCACCTTGGAACTGCTGAAAGAAAAGTGTTGTAGACTGGAGATAGGTGATGTCCTCAGGTCTAAAGTCCCAAGAAGGCTCCACCTCCATTTGCACCACTCAGGTGACGTAAACCTCCAAGTGGCCTCAAGGACCCTCCAAAAGGATGCAAAGGACCAGCTGCCTGCAAGGAGTATCAATCCTTCCATCCCCCACCATCCAGTCAGAGCTGGAGAAGCTCCTTGGAGGAGAAGCGAAACGTCTTCAAAGAAAAAAACCCAGAAAGTCCAGTTGCCTCTTGGGAAAAAAAGCACCTTTGGGACCCCGAGCAGATGTGGAAACTCCAGATGTTCCTTCGGGGAGTCCTTCTGAGGGAGACATCAGTTCTCTGCCTCCCGGGGTCTCCTGTGAGGGAAGGATCCCCAACTGATCCCTCTGCGCTTCCCTCCCCAGGGACCGGTTACGCACCATGACCAACGTCCTGGGTGACGCACTGGCCGCCGGGATCATAGCTCACATCTTCCAGAAGGAGTTCGCCCCAAAGGTAACCCCAGAAACGGTTGGAGCAGAAGCCCCCTGAGCACCGAGGGAGGCTGCTGGCTTTATTCATTCTCTCCTTTCTCCTTCCCACACAAAGGACCCCGTGAATGAGAGGCTGGTCTCTCCCCAACCTCAGGAGCCCGGGGCGCAAGGGATGGAGGAGGCCCTTCCTGGACAGAACGGTCGCTGCATCTGCGAGGTGTGAAGGCTTCCCATCACCCGCGACGTCCAGGGGGCCAGTGCTGGGGTTGCTCCCTTTGACTCTCCAGGACCCCCAAGAAGGAAGAGTGAGGAGCCACCCGCCCTGACTCTGCTCTCCCGGAAGCCCTTTAGGGGAAGCCAAGATCGGGGCCCACCAGAAGAGACGCCTCAGAGGTTGCCGGAACTTCCTGGAAACTGGATATTGGACTGTTGGCTCCTTTTTTATTTTAATTTTTTTTTTCATAACGAAAGCAAAAACTTTCCATCAGCTTTCTTAGTCCTTATCCCTGAGACGCCCTCTAACACACCGGCCAGCGTTCCAGTTCTAAAAACTAAGAAGTGTCTTTTCTAAGTAGGGGGAGGGGATGACACCAAAGAGGAGGCACCTTTGCCAGCTGGCTGCAACCCTTCCGGGGGTCCAGGCACCCGGGGGGGGGCTTGCCAAGTGCTTCCCACAAGTATCCTCTCTGACTAGCTCGTCCTTGATGGCACAAGCCTGCTCACACACACACACACACACACACACACACACACACACACACACAGTTGGCAGCAGAGGCTGACAGTTGTGAGTCCATGGAGAACAATCAATCAGTGGGAAAAATTTTCCTCCAGAAGTTGTGGATGCTCCATCACTGGAGGTCTTTAAGAAGAGATTGGACAGCCACTTTTCTGGAATGGTAGAGGCTCTCCTGCTGAAGCAGGGGGTTGGACTAGAAGACCTCCAAGGCCCCTTCCAACTTCCCCGTGGAAAGGGGCAGAAAGCAGAGATGACCAGGGGCAGGAGGGACTCAGCGGGCAACACAGTCCTGGCTGAGCTCACACTGAGAGGCTGCAGGGAAGAATTTCTGGGGAGGGTCTGGGGAGCCCCTGAGGCACAGCAAAGCGAGGTTGTGGGGCTGATTCTGATGTTTCCCAGTCCTAATGTGGCACCTCCTCTCTGCCACCGAAGCGGGAATGTTTTAAACTGTTCCAGGGGTTTTATGCATCAATTCACATCTGTGGCTGATAAAAAAAAAATGTAGCTGGGCACAGCCAGTATGGGTGACTTCCAGAAGAGATGCCTCTCTCTGCAGTTCTCACCTTTGCAGGTGAAACCCAGCCCAGGATCTGTTCTGGCCCCAAGCAGGAACTTCAGCAGGACATGAAGAGACCTTCCGTCCTATAACTAACTCCGTGAAGGGATTGCTCAATTCTGAAGGGTCTTTGCTCCGTCAGGGGGAATCCAAGGGTCCCGAAATCTCAAACAGAACCACCTCAACTCCCATTTCCAATATTTTGAGTGAGCGGCTGAAGACTTTTCCTCTGCTGGCTCTGGGAAATGTTGCTGACTGAGCTCATCATTTGGCCCGATCACTTTAACATGTCTGTGAAAACAGAGTCACGATTTTGATGGAGAAGACCAGGAACATCCGCCTTCGGAAAAGCTGAGGGACGTGGAACATGCTGGGTGATTGAGAAAGCCAGGGAATTCCACAAGGCTTCAACAATTATAGGAAGGGCTTTGTGTTAACCACGTCAAGTGGTGGCATGACGTCAGGAGAATCCCAGAAGGTCCTGGGGAGAAGCCGAGGTGGAGGTCAGGAAGCCTCAAGATGGCCAGAACATGGAGAAGCAGACGGGCTCCAGGCTGGCAAATTTGGGGGAGGGGGACAGGTCTAAATCCACTCCCCTTATTTAGTCCACCTCTGTGTAGAGTAGATATTAAGGAAGCTGGATTGTAAGAAGATGAGCAGGGCCTTAAAAGTGGAGGAAGGGACATCAACAACCTTGGTAGCCTGTGATGACGCTATCTTGATGGCCAAAACATGCACAGGAACAGCTCCTAGCGATAAAAGTTCAAGGAACAGAGTGAAAAAAGGGAGAGATATTAAATATAAAGAAAACTAAAATAACGATAGAACGACCAGCCTCAGAATTCAGAATGGAGTTACAACAAACGGTGCAGACCTAAAGGTGCTTTTTTTTTTTTCAAGAGGCAACTGGACTTTCTGGGATTTCTTTGAAGACGTTTCACTTCTCATCCAAGAAGCTCCTTCAGCTCCGACTGGGTGGTGGGGAAGGGAAGGATTGATACTCCTTGCAGACAGCCGGTCATTTGCATCCTTTTTAGGGAGTCGTTGAGGCCGCTTGGAGGTTTGTCTGTGTCCTCGGGGTCCCCTGAGTGGTGCAAGTGGGTGTGGAGCCACCTTGGAGCTGCCGAAGGGATTGTGTTGTGGAGCTGTGCTTTCTGCAGGATCTTTTCCGCCCTGCTGGGTCCCTTCACTGTTGAGCACCAGAGTGAGCCTGGGTGACCCTGAGGACACAGACAGACCTCCAAGTGGCCTCAACGACTGATGTTTTTGAACTTTGGTGTTGTTGGAGGAAGCTCTTGAGAATAGCACGGATGGCCAAGAAAGCAAACAAATGGATTACAGGGCAAATTAACCTCAGGTATTCTCTCGTGGCAGAAATGATTGATTTCAAATGATCATGTTCTTCAGACAAAAGGCTTGGAAAAAAATCAGTCATGCTAGAAAAGATGGAAGGAAAAAGAAGAAGCGAAAGAAGAAGCCACTTGCCATGTTGCATCTCTCGCCAGCTGTGCAACTTACGGAAATGTTCAACATGCACAATTTTCTAGACAGACTTAAGAAATCACTCCAGCGCTGAGCCAGGGCTTTCCAGAGAGACAGACAGACAGACAGAGATTGGATGGAAAGAAAGACATCTACAAAATGATTGTGGTACATTCCATGTTTATCTGGGATTGCCTCAAACTCTGGCTGAATTTATTTATTTCAGCAAATTTATATGGCCACCCAACTGATTCTCAGTGACTCCAGGCTGCTTACAGAGGTTAATTTGGTCAACTTCAAAGTTTCTATTTTCTCATAGTAATGACATTGTTCCTAGAGCAGGAACAACTCCCAGAATTCCTCAGCCAGAATGCACTGGCTGAGGAATTCTGGGAGTTGAAGTCCACAAGTCGTAAAGTTGCCAAGGTTGGAGAACCCTCTCCTAGAGAGTATCTGTTCTTTTAATCGCAATGGCCGTAGCGCTTAGACTTACATACCGCTTCACAGTGCTTTATGGCCCCCTCTAAGCAGTTTACAGAGTCAGCCTATTGCCCCCAATAACCTCAGCCCTCATTTTACCGACCTCGGAAGTAAGGATGGAAGGCTGGAACTGGTGAGATTCGAACTGCCAAACTGCAGTCAGCCAGCGGTCAGCAGACATAGCCTGAAGTACTGCATTCTAGCCACTGCACCATCACGCTAATCATGGGTTAATAACAATTAACCCACCCCCCAAAATAAATGTAAATAACTACATCAGCAATATTCATAAAATAATTTTCTACATTTTTTTTCTGAGTTGTTTTATATTGGTATAATAGTAAGAGGCTTCCTGTGTCCAGGTGAGTTTGATTCAAGGGTACGGTGCTCATGTCCGTTTCTTGGCCAAGGGGGGCAGTGTTGTCCAAAGACACTTCCGTGGTCATGTGACCAGCATGGCTATACGCCAAAGCTTTGTGGAACACTGTTACCTTCCCACCGAGGTGGTACCTATTTATCTATTCGCATTTACATGCTTTAGAACGGCTAGGTTGAGGCGAGCAATGGGAACTCACCCCATCGCGCGATGCTTGGGTCTCAAACCCTTTCCTTCCCTTTCCTCCTTTCTCCTGCACTACCATGGTGATGAGGGAGGTGACGTGGTTTCATTTTTCTTCTTTAATGCTTTCCTGGGCTGCCATTCAGTGGCTTCATCCTCTCCACCTGGGCAGGAAATATTAACAGAGAGATTGCCCGGCTGTCCACCGCGACCAAGTTGGCACAGCACGTTGCCAATAAAGTTGCTCCAGTTTTGCCCCAGCCTTGAGGAGTCCATATGGCCAAGGCTTTGGTGGCAACGAGGGTCCCATCTCGCCAGGAGATCTGAATCTCCTTCTGGCCTATAGCGAGGATGCTTTCCAGGTGGGCCTCTTCTACTCATTTGTTGGACCTCTTGGCTTTTGTGAGGAGAGGTCACCAGCTGGATCCAGAAGGTGGCGGACATTCTTTGTGCAGCGTCCTTGAAGGAGGTGGGGGGTCTGGACCCTTCCGAAGAGGCCATGCTTGGATCTACTGCTCTTAGGGAGTTATCGTCTGTCCTGCAGTTGCCAATGTTGTCAAGATGGTGATAATGAACCATCTTCACAAGACCTTGTATGAAGTTGTTCTGGCCCAGCTCCCCAAACACGACAAACCCTCTGCATTTAACTCAAAGATTCCTTTATTAGGAGCGCCAACAGCCTCTGCAAAAAGTTTCTCTCTCACCGCGGGCTAACAAGTCTGTCCATCCGGGAGATGAATAGTTGTCTGCCACATCTACTCATCTCCGCCCCCTGCCTTTGATCCCCGGAGCTAGGGCGGGGCTTCTCTAGCAGCAGTGGCTCTTCCCTCCCAAGGACCGGCCCATAGATTTCCACTGCTCTCCTCTCCTCTGCCTTCTGCGCATCCGTACGTCAGGCACTGGACCCAGATGTTCCTCCTCTTCCTCATCAGGCACCCCCAGACCTGGGGACTCTTGACCCTCCATCTGAGGGCTGACGGACGGTCCAGGCTCCGCCCCTCTCTCTCTCTCTCTCTCTGCCAGCTCCATTCCCTCTTTCCCCTCGGAGCTCCCAGGTTGCCCTGATGCTGACCCAGACTCCCACGCCTCCTCCTCCTCCTCTGATTCAGCCTCTGGAGGGGCCAGCGGCCAACAAGCCACAACAAAAGTGGACCTTTTAAAGGAAGAGTTCAGGCGTGGTTGTGGGACTGGGATGGCGTTGGTTTGTTTCTTTTTTTTTTTTTTTATTGCAAAAGTTTTACAATTACATTTTCACCCCTTTTTTTCACCCCCCCACCTCCCTCCCCAAACTTCCCGTCCTCCCTAACCCTCCCTAACCCTCCCCCCCCCCAGACTTCCCTATTATGTACTCATAACTAATAACACTGATATATATACCTGAACCCATCCCTCCCCCTACATAATTTTCCCTCTTTGTCTCTTTATATTAAAATATTTCTAATACATTGTTTTCAAATAAAAGCTATTTGATACTTTCTAATTTGATATTTGTTCTGAACATATTCTATCCACCTTTTCCATTCCCATTCATAAGTCTCTTGTGAACAATCTTTTAAATATGCTGAAATCTTCGCCATCTCTGCAAAACTGGCCATCTTCGAAGTCCATTCCTCGATAGTAGGCAAAGCTTCATTCTTCCAATATTTACCTATCAACAATCTTGCTGCTGTTATCATATACAATATTAATTTTGTTTCATCCCGTGTAAAACCCTTAACTATGCCCAATAAAAACAATTGTGGAGAAAATTGAATTTTTTTCTTCAAAACATTCTGCATGACCCACCATATTTTTATCCAAAAAGCCTTAACTTTCCTACAGGTCCACCAAACATGATAATACGTAGCATCCAAACATTCACATCTCCAACATTTTGGCTGAACATTAGGGTACATACATGACAACTTTTTAGGATCTAGATGCCATCTATAAAACATTTTATAGAAATTTTCCCTCAAATTCTGCGACTGTGTAAATTTAACATTCTGAACCCAAATTTTTTCCCATGTTTCCAACATCACTGGTTCTTCAAAATTTTGTGCCCACTTAATCATGCAATCTTTAACTAATTCCGTTTCTGAATCCCTTTCTAGCAAAACATTGTAAAGCCTTTTAATATGCATTGGACCTTTCTCTCTTATATGTCTAACCAATTCTTCCTCATGCAACATAATACCAGTTTTTTGGTCCTCTTTCCATCTCAATTGTAATTGATTATATTGTAACCAGGTTAAATTAATCCCTTCGTCCAACAGTGTCTGCAATGTCTTCAACTGCCATCTGCCCGCATCTGTAAAAAGAACCTCTTTGTATAAAAACCCCCCGAGTGACATTATATTTGTATTCCACAAGGTATGACCAAGATCCAGCCATAGCGGTATTTTATAATCCCATTTGAGTCGGTGCTTCTTCCAAACTCTCATCAAAGAGTCTCTAAGTATATGACTTTTAAATACTTTATCAACTTTGTCATCATAAAATAGGTAAGCATGCCATCCAAATTCAAGATCAAAACTTTCTGCATTCAATATTCCAGCCTTTTTACTTCCAAACCAATCACTTGTTAAAGTTAAAGCTGCTGCATCATAATATAACTGTAGGTTTGGAAGTTTAAGGCCTCCTCTTTCTGGAACATCTTGCATAATTTTCAATTTCACTCTCGGCTTTTTCTCGTTCCAGACAAACTTATTAAGTCCAGTTTGCGTTGGTTTGTTTCTTGATGGACCTGGGTGGAGACCTAGGTAGAGGTGGCATGTCTCACCTGGTCCTTTTATTGGGGGCGGGGCTTTTGATGCCATCAATCAGGGTGTCTTAGTAGACTCCCTGTGGGGATTGTGGTTTGAAGGAGGGCTTTACGGTGACCTCACTCCTTCCTCAGTGGGGGATTGTGGCTCTGGTGGCTCAGCAGACTAATTAACATCCACTTACATCTGCTGCCTGCAATTACTGTAAGTTCAAATCTCACCAGGCTCAAGGTAGACTCAGCCTTCCATCATTTCAAAGGTAGGTAAAATGAGGACCCAGATTGTGCGGGCAATAAGCTGACTTCATATAAAATATACAAAAGTATGAAGGTTGTTGCTTAATGCACTGTAAGCCACCCTGAGTCTCCGGAGAAGGGCAGCATATAAATCAAATTTTTTTTAAAAAATTGTGTGGGGAGGGGAGGTTGGCCTGGTGATCTTCGAGGTAGAGGGTGCTGGGAGGAGTGCTGCTACTCTTCCTCCTGCTTTTTCAGATCTACAGTATAAGAAACAGCAGAGGGTGGTTATCTGGCACTTCCGGGTGCAATATCCTGAATTTATATATCTCCCCCTGTCACAACTATGCAGGAGATGCCATCAAAGTCCTTACCTGGTCTTCAGAGGCTAGAAAGGTCCAGACAGGAGAGATGAAATAGATGAAAGTCGGATCGAAGTAAGACCGAGCTGATGTTGGTATATCGGGGTTCTCTCTCAACATCCTGCCCACCTTCCCAGGTAGACTAGACAGGAAACGTGACATGAACTAAGTCTGCTTTACTGTAAAGCTACATCGAGAGAATCTTGCAAGTCTGAAATTATGAGTCTCCCACCATGGCTTTCACAGCCTGATAAGGCAGGGAAGGTCCCTCCTGGGTTTCTCTCTCTGCCTGTTATGCAGCTGAGGCCCTCCCCTCCTCTTCTCTTCTCTTCTCTTCTCTTCTCTTCTCTTCTCTTCTCTCCTCTCCTCTCCTCTCCCTCTCCTCTCCTCTCCTCTTCCCTTCCCTTCCCTTCCCTTCCTATTTCTCTTCTCTTCTCTTCTCTTCTCTTCTCTTCTCTTCTCTTCTCTTCTCTTCTCTTCTCTTCTCTTCTCTTCTCTCCTCTCCTCTTCTCTTCTCTAATTGCTCCCTAGGCAGCATCTGTTCCTTCCTCCTCTCTCTCAAGGTCTTTCCCACACACCATTACATCTCCCTCCCCTTCAGACTCATCTCACCCCCTTCCCAGGCTCCCAGGGGAAAGAGGCCGTGGGCTGTGAGAACAAAATGTGGCAGTATCACACAGACACACAAACGAAAACATCCCTCTTCTCCTGATAACTCCCCGAGATGATCTCATCAATCATCTGCTCCAGTTGAAGTGACAGCTGCCCCTCCATTGGGAACCTGTCTTACACACACACACACACACACACACACACACACACGTGGAAGGAGCTGCTTCATGATCCTCCCCTGGGTCTCTCGCTGTTCCCAAGGCTGCCTCTGCCCCATGGGAGAAGCCGTCCCCCTCGTACTGGTCAGTGCCCGATTCCTGCAAGGCTGGTGCTTGCCCAGGATGGGGCTGGTTGGAGTAGTGGTCGTGAAAGCAGGGTAATAATTGTGGGGCCTGCAGGTCCGTTGCTGTCTCCCGTGAATTTTCTGACTCTGGGTAGTTTTTCCAGTGTATCAAACCTTCACCTGCACTGATGATGCTACCTAGTCGGGTCATGAAATGCCTGCAAAGAAACAACAGAGCTCAGAAATCACCAAGGACCCCCAGTCCTTTTCTTTCCCTCTTCTCCTCCTCCTTGTCCCTCTTCTCCTTCTCTCCTTCTCCTCCACTCTGTAACCCCCCTTCCCTCCTAGCACTGATGATGCTACCTAGGCAGGTCATGAAATGCCTGCAAAGAAACAACAGAGCTCAGAGAGCACTAAGGACCCCACAGTTCTCCCCAGAGCTGCAAATATCCCCTTTTATTGACGTGTTTGCCTTTGCGTCTAGAGAGTCTGACATCGCTGCCACCTCAT